TTTGCGCAAGCTTTTGACGTGATTTTCAGTTTGCTTCGACAGCTGATCCACCTGTCGATCGACCTTTTGCACAGAGTGTTGGACAGCCATGCCAGCGGCATACTCCCTAAACTTGTAGATCCCCCTGACGACTTTTGGGTAAATGGCATTCAATCGCCATAACACGACTACTGGAGTGCTCTTCATGGGTTGACCGAAGCGGTCTCGAACAGGGGCATCGTTGAACGGTTTGAGAGGCATAAGTCGAGGTTCTCGTCGTGGATCCACGTCGTCCAATTCTTTCTCAACAGATATCGCGAGTTTCCCACGGGACCCGGCGGCTACCGTAGATTCTCCTCCGAATTTCAGGGTGTCCTCGAGGGTGACCAAGACTTGGTCCGCCAAGTCTTTGCGCTGACTTTGAAGATCACGATACGCGTCGTTCAAAGTCGACCACACTCGACTGGTCGGACGCCAGCTATCATCGTCAGGTCGGAAGTGCATTAGGAGGTGTGCAGTGAGATCTTGCACGTTACTGGGAACGTCGAGAGGAAGCTTGGATCCTTCGAGTCTCTGTCGTGACATAAGATTGGATCGTGATTGAGATCCTGAGAGACTGGTTGGGGACCGAAGTTGCTCGGGACTAGTCGGAAGCGTCGATGCGACGGCGGGAGGTCCTTCCTTGGCGAAGTCTGCAGGTCCACCAAAGAGTTCTGGGTCGTACACTTGTCCCTCAGCCACCAGATCACTGGTGTATAAGGCCGCGTGCATCCGCTGAGCGAAGGGTTTGGACGGGTCGTATGAGAGACCATCGGAATCGTCAGGATCGACCATGTCATCCGGGTCGTGGCCCGACCGTTCGGATTGCGGTTGGGCAGTGAGGGGTTCAGGCGTTGCCCCGGACGGCGCCTTGACCAAAGGCTCGCCAGACAGAGAACCCGCTGGCCTCTCCTGCATCTGGCGAATTGCTTGTATCGTTTGTGCCCGGTGATCTTGCATCATCTTGTACCGCGGAACCATGACCTTGTCCACGATGTAGAAAGCGCCTTCGACATCTCCAGTCTTCGCGAGGGCAATAGCGTATATATCAAAGTTCGTAGGGGTGAATCCAAAACCCTCCATCCGAGCCTCGTTCCACACATCCTTGAGCACGGCGTACTCGCCGACATCTGCCAATGTTTCCATGGTGATAGAGAGGCAGACAGCAAGGGTGGTGCTGGGCACAAAGCCCTTGACCGAAGTGTCTGAGCTGGAGGTGCCGATCAGACTCTTGGAAAGATCAATCGAGTCTCCCCGAAGGGTCTTTGCCATGCTCATGGCCGTTTTCCAAAGCTTCATCACGTTCTCCGAGTCCCCCTGTTTCCTATAAACGTCCATGAGACGTCCGACAGACTTCAAATCGCGAAGTTTGGGCTTTGACGTATCAGGAAGCGAGGCATCAAAATAGGCACGCGCATTTTCAATCTGTCCAATGTCTCCGGCGAGCGTAATCATGCTAGCAAACATGGCTTGAATCTCATCACCATGTCTGCGCGCCTCGACCCCGCCCTCTTTGGCGACCATATGAACTGCCATGGCGAATCGGTGCACTCGATCGAGCCTTTCTTCGGACGCACGTCCACTATCGATGAAGGACTGGGTGATGGCATTATACGTGGCGACGCTGGGGAGCTTGCGCCGGCGACGCATCTCGTTGTATGTCGCTTGTGCAAGGTCATTTTGTCCGTTCCGCAGATAGCCGTATAGTAAGATCGAGAATGCGTAGAGATCCGGTGTCGGCGACTTTGCAGAAGTCCTGGCTCGTCTGTCCATGCTTTCTAGAATCTTGGCGGCAGCAGCCATCTGACCTGCATCGCAATACGACAGAAGTAATAATGACCAATGAGAGTTGCTCGGATTGCGAATACCTCGGAAGACGGAGAGCACGATTGATGGTGGCGCAGCGAGCATGACAAATGCTCTGAGAAGCGCCCCTGCGACGGGTGAGGAGTTTTGCATTTCAGGTGCCAGACTTTGCCAGTATTGGGCGGCCCCGTCCCAGTCTCCAGCATTGACGTATGCCCGGATGATGGTCGCCGAAATGGTCTCAGTGACTTGAACCCCAGCACCGCGCATGGCGTCCAGAAGCACGAAAATGTTTGAGAGGTCAATCCGCTCAGCATACATCCACAGGAGCTGTTCGAATGTCGCGTGATTCGGGCCAACGTCAGACCGGAGTAGGGAGCGGAACACTGTCAATGCCTTGTCGGCGTCCCCTTGTTCGGTATAAAACTTGATCATGATGTTGTGTAACGCCACAGTGGGTCGAGTCTGAACAAGTCGTTGGTACAATCTCTCAGTCGCCTCGCTGGCGTTGGCCCCGGTATTCGCATTGGCTTGAAACAGGATGCTGAGAAGGCTCGGATCCTCTGTCCACTGAGGCCCAAAATTCTGGCCTAGAAGCTGTAAGACCGCTTCCGGGCGACCCTGTCGGGATTGCTTTTCGGCAATGGCTATCTTGTCGGCAAAGGTGGGAGAGAATAGCTTGTCGATCTCGGCGTACACGGTCGATGCCTCTGCGTACAGACCATGAGTTGCAAAGATGGCGAGCATTTTCGATAGATACTGGTGGGTCATGCCAGTGTGCTGACTCCGAGTCAGAGCATACAGAGCTTGTGCGTCTTCTGTCTGACCGAGCCGGAACAGTGCCCAACAGTGACGAGCCGAGGCGTCGAGCGGGATGGGCAATTTGTTTGTGTACAATTGTTCCACAAACTCGAGCGCGTCATTGACTTTTGACGAGTAGCGAGTCAGAGCGGTGTACATGATCCCAACTTTGTCCGAATTCTCATATTCCCACCCTACATTCTGTGCAAACCATTCGACTGGTCCAGGCATGGTGGCCAGGGCATTGAACATGATTTGGCGAAACAACAGCATAGTAGAGTTTCGTATTGTCACATCGAGGAGAGCCTGTCGAAAGGCTTCAGAGCTAGACATGACCATCTCTACGAGGTCTGACAAGCGATCGTTGCCCGCTAAAAGTTCGCGATACTCTACCAATAGTCGAAGTTGAGATCCCACGGGCCCATGATCAGGTTGTAGGGCGAAAAGAAAGTCGAGTCCCTTGGTCATGCTCGCTCGAGCAGCCTCCCAATGGCCTAAATGCGCAGATGTGGTGGCTTGAAAGAACAGCTGGTATGTGTCACCGACCGTAGGCGCTGAGATTGAGCCAGAAACCTCCTGAGCTTCCGCCGCGAGCCCTATGGCCGATTGAGCGTGTTCGACAAGCTCCGACTTTGCCTCCGAGGCTTTATAAGCGGTTCTAGCCAGAATGTAGCCAATGACAGCATGGGCAAAGGGGAAAAGTCCGGGATCAGAGGTCTTGAGATATCCTTCCTTTACTGCTTGAAGCGCATCGATCAATCGACCAGCGGACCATAGCCACTGTTTCGGTTCGGCCCCGACCTGACAGAGATTAACCAGGCGTCTAATCGACTCGATCTGGGTGAAGAAAGCACGGGGCTCGGGAAGAGACTCGATTACCGAGATGTATTCCCCTACGGTGGCTGTGTTCTGATCCACTAGCATGCTGTTGACGGTGTAGTAAAGGGGCTCTGAAGCGGCAGTCGAGGTATTGGGACTGTGCATCCCCAGACTTTCCAAGGCTTGTGCAATTCTACGCACGACTGCCATGTCGTCGGAATCTAGAGGAACATGGTGACCGACCGGAAGAACGTATATTCGCTGAGCATCTGGGGAGCGCAAACCCATGAGATCTGTGGAAAAGAGATACCTGTTATCATTTTCCCGGCGCGAGATGGACTCCCGGAGCGTCTGATCAAGGGCGTCGAGTTCTGAGGGCGAGAGCCCTGGAGCCTTAGAGGCAGACGAGCGGTTCCGTAAACGGTCATTCCACTTGGACATGCGCCCGGGCGCTTTGAGATCTAAGATCGACATCGTTTGTTGGTGTAATTTATCTTGTAATGGCGTCAACACACTCGATCTGTATTGAGGGCCACCAGATACGGGACTATCAAGAGCGAGGTTGTTGGCAAGATCAGGTGCTCTGTCTGTTATCCCAGCGGGCAATCCAGCTACTCGTTGGCGTCTGTTTGAATACTTATTGACCGATGATGAGAGAGGAGCCACTTTCAGATCCTTTGCTTCGAGTCGTTCATGGTATATCTCCGTGCGCCGACGTGCTTCGTGTGGGTCGATCAATTGAGGCCAACTTCGGCCGTTGAGGGGTTTGCCAGATTTCCATTTGGGTTCATAGTCCTTTGATGGAAGTAAAATCCGCTTGATATCCTGCATACGTCGATGCCCTGGCACTCGAATGCGAGCATCCAACACGCGCCGTCTAGCCTTTCTGCTCAAACCCTTGAGATTTATGGATGGGTCAGGGGCCGTGCGGAATCTCTGATCGAGGTATGCGAGTTTGTCTGACGAACATGTTAGCATGCGGTTAATGAACGAGGGCACAGCGAGACTTGCCATCTTTCTTTTTTGGGTTCTTTCTGGTATTCCCCAATATGTACCCAGCTTTGTACCAGTTGGGATCTCGTGTGAGTTGATTTGGATCATTGGTCGGAGCACCCTGATTGAGGATCCGCGTGTCCTCCTTCAAGACGTGATATCTTTGTCTCCGGTGGTCAAAATATACGGATCCATCTGAGCGTGTCATGGTCTGATGTCGGTGGGACGGATCACGGACTGTCACCCCCTCGAGGTCGTCGTAGATGGAATGTCGGGACGAGTTCGGGTTCCAAGGAAGTCTCTCCTGACGAAGCTTTCGAGCATATACTGCCCGTAGCTGTTCATCGTTTCGATCAATCGGTCTGTTGTAACGACTCTCATATTGACTTGACTCGGCATGACTGTCTCCGGGCACATCCCAAAACTTCGCGACTGGTTCACTTGCTCGCAAAGTCGATCCAGTAACGTTCGATCGAGATTCAACCCTGTCCTCACGAGAATGATCCGGCTCATCCGATGCAAACGCATGCGCACTGGATCCCGAGGCGTACGATCGACTCTGATGCCGGGACTTGGTTGACGGTCAGCTTGCCAAGATTCACGATGGGACCAGCACGAGAGCTCACCTTGACCTGGTCCTTGACGATCGGGGTCACAACCGATGATCCAACATTTAAACTCAGACCGTCTGTTAGCGTCGCGTAGGCTCTTGCATCCGTATCCAATCGACGTTGAACCAGTCGGAGGACATGAATGATCGTAGATGACGAGACCGACCCGACTTGCCCTCGTGCGAGGGAGGCGGTGAGTCGAGACGGTTTCATATGGTGGATGGCATGGATTCAATAAGACCTCGAAGGGTCGTAGAACAATGTGGTCGTGATCAGCGATAGGCCGTTGCTCGCTGTTCTGCTCTATGAAGATGGATGGATGGGATGGTCGATCGTTGTTGCATTTTTCGGACAATTGCAGCTGCAACCGTAAACGGCCAAAAATCAACAGTCACGTGATCAATGTGTGGCGGCAGGGCGGCGATCGAGTGGCCACCCAACGCACGCTGAGCTCGAGGGTTATGACCGACTGCATGGACACGCTGTTGAGAAGAACAGCCATGAGCAGCGTCTCTGGGGTACTAGACACTGGAAGAGGGCAGTAGTGCATAACGTATACAACATTGTCATGCGGCCAACGTGTTCGACCAAGGTCATTCGTCATCCTCATCACCATCACCTCACTTGCTAGCGCTCGTGAGCAACTTCATCATCTCCGCATTGTCCTTTTCCAACCCCGCCAACTTGTCCACACTCTTACCCATCTTCTCCAACAACCATCTCGCTCGCTCCTTGACAGCTGTACTCTTCCCAAAGATTGAGAAGAAGCCTTCGCCCAATCCTAAAGCCTCTTCACCTCCTCCCGTGGAGATGCTTTTCAGGGTGCCTAATTCCGCTTCGTAGGATTTGATATCGGCCTCAGCTTTAGCGATGAGGGCAGTATTGTATTCGATCTGGGACATGGCTCGGAATACAGGGTCTAGGGATGGATAAAGATTAGCACTGGTCGAGGAGACTCAGTCGACTCACCATTGACTAGCTGCTCGAAAGCATACCTGAATACTGGTTTACCCGGCTTGACCTTTGACGCACGTCCATCGACGTAGGTGATACTGACGAGTTCGTGTTCCTCCAGAGCTTTCAGACTCTGTTCAGAACCTTTGAAAGGGAAATCTTGCAGAAGCTTGGCGTAGGACAGCTAGATACTCGTCAGATCAAAAATCTCAGCCACTCTTGCTCACCTCGCCATTCTTTGCGAGCTCTGAGACCACCTTCCATGCTTGTTGCCTCGTCCAAGGTAACGACTTTGCGTCCTCCGCGTCGTCCCCAAAGGCCAGCTTTCTCAGCTCGACAACATTTCGCAAGACAATGTCGTCCACAGCTTCAGGTACACTTGCGCCCGTCCTGACTTTGTAGACCAGAGTCTCAAGATCAACCATTCGACCTCCCAGCTTGGTGATTTGATCTCTGTCAGCGAGAGACAGGGCAGAGTTTGAGGATTCCAACTTATCCCGGACGTAGGACAGGGAGTTCTCGTAATCTGCATCAGCTAGACTGACCGTGTTGAGCGGTTTGGAGGGGAGCGCTTTGGTGAGCGATTTCGAGGCGATAGGTCCTTCGGTAATGACAATGACGTGAGCGATCTTGTTCTCCACCAGACCGGCTCCCCATTCTGACAGAACGGTCCATAATTCACCCCTTGCAGACTTTTGGGCAAAGTTCTTCAGGACGACGATGGGTAGAGCTTGAATATATTCTGACTCGACGTCCAGGTCTTCAGGTGGATAAGCGGAGGCTGATCGTCTTGCTGATGGTTTGGCAGCGGTTGCGGGTTCTGAAATCTCAATGACATTGTCGATGGCCAGATCCCCATCAAATGTTGGCTCTTGACCCAGCCCCAGCTCGCTCATCACACCGTTCCCCGCGATACAATCCAATCGACCATCGTGCCATCCTCCCCGTCTGATCAAAGCTTGACGTCGCGATTCCTCCACCTCCACCTCGGCGCATTTACGAGCCTTATCGATGGACTCTTGGTGCTTCTCCCGGGTGTGAGCAGAGACGTCTTTCAGGGCCGTACCGACCACGTCGAGTACCGAGCGGAGCTGTTGGTCGATCGGAGTGGCAAAGCCAGCTGGAGGAAGTCAGCTTGTTTTCATGCTTCAACTCACCCTTTTGACCTATCAGACCGACAGTAACCAGATCGATGAGGCCATTCAGAGAGTTCAAGAAAGAGAAGACGGGCCAATAACCTGCAAGCGTATCAGCTATGTCTCTGGCAGCTATACACACCAGTCTGTTCTGCCAAGGCGCTCAACAGTGCCGAATCAGTCTTGGCCTTCGCAGTATCGGAACAGTCGATGACAAGAGATGGCCTGTACGATCTCAGCCAGCAGGACGTCAAGGGACACTCACTTTGCTTGCTTGCCAAGCACCCTCGACACGAGACTGGCTTTACCGCTTCCTGGCGGTCCAGTGATGGTGATGAATGTGCTTGGGTATTCGGATAACCACCTCTCCACAGTCTTTTCGGCTTCCACTCGGTCCTTCCAGGCGTTTTTCCCGAGGGTCTCATCAGGGCCGTCGGCGGGCCCATTTGAGCTGGATCCGAACGAGAATGATGAGGAGAATTTCGATCGGATCACTAAGGCGGTTAATAAGCATGGCAGTGGTGACTGGACCTCACTCTTGACGATCGAATAGCTCTCGAGATCAAAGACTCCTTCGAGATTGGATCGGACGAAGAATGCTCGAATAGGATCGAATAGCTGCAAAAAAAGTTCAGTCCTCGCACCTTACGATACTGTTTGACCCACCGTGTAACTCAGCGTCCCGATTAAGAAAGCGAGGGCGGGAAGGACGATCCTAGGGTGAGAGTTCAAGAAGTCTCGTATAGCGTGCGCTTTCCTCTGGCTCTCATAGTAGATTCGGAGTCTACTCAGTGCAATTGAACCTGGTGCGGTATCCCCAGTGATTCGAGCGATGAAATCGGCAGTGTTTGTAGGTGTAGAGTATCCATGCAGCTGGTGGCGTTAGTGGGATAGTAGGGCGAGTCTTTGACTCACGCAGTTGATGGCGGTGGTGGATGGAGAAAGGTGGCCAAAGGTGACTGTCGCTGCTCGAAGTGATCCCGCAGCAGCTGGAGATGGCGGCACGATATCTTTGAGTCGGCCGTAGGGCTGATCAAGGTGGGTCAGCTAAGGCCCCAGTTCGCCTAGACGAACTCACCCTGAACAGCACGTACAGCATCTCTTGTGAGACGTCTGGACCCTCAAACTCGACTCGCAAATGAGGTGATGGGAATCGGTGCATGTCCTATGGTGAGGTCAGCGTTGTCATCGTGCCCGGTTTTCCTCACCTCGGTCCATTGTCTGCCCTTGACCAACCATACTCTGCCATTGCCCACCAGCTCCTGTACGCCTTTCAAGCCAGATCCTGTTCCGAGGACCGACGTCCCTGACGAGTTGTCTTCGCCCTGACCCACAAACGTGATACCTGGCTTTTCGATCCCTCTAGAATACAACGTATGTCCCGCTGCGAGATTCTTCTCGATCCATCGTGGTTGGCCCCATTCACCGAGCCAATGGGGTATGCCGCCGTGCTTCTGAGCAGATTGGATGAATTGAGGGATAAAGAATCGTGCAGGGTTGTTCTTTGACTTGCCAACCTCGGGAAGAGCTCCAAACATGGTCGCTGTGGTCTCCGCTTCGACTCTTGACACTTCTTCACCTTCCTTGGGCGGCGGAGGAGGGATATATGAAAAGTGTAGAAAGACACCTCCATCTTTCCTCGCTATCTCCCATGACTCTACTCTGAAACCGTTGCCAGAGATCTCAGAGGCTATATCGTGAAGTCGCTCCATCATGCCTTGTTCTCTGAAGAAGGCCAGGGCGGGTCGAGGATCAAATCGGCCAAGCGTGATAGGGAAGACATTGGAAATGTAGAGGGAGGATGGGATCCGGCGAGACTCTTCGGATGGAGGAGGAGTCGATGATGACGTTGTCTGTGGTGGTGGGTTATCCGGATCGTTGGGTAGAGGAGTGATGGGAACGGGTGGAAGAGGTTGGTCTTGAGGTAGTGGAGGAGGGGTGGTAGTTCCATCGGCGGCGGAAGAGGCAGTCGAATTGACATGGTCATCCCTAGAGGTACTTTCTAGCCGACGCAAAGGAGCGGCCAGCAGCGGTATTCTCCATCCAGCCTGCGTCGCTCTACGTCTCAATGGATGTTTCAGTGGATAGATCAGTGGCCTGAGCATGCTGCCAGTGTATATGTTCAATGTCAAAAGACAGAGCTTCTCGGACTCACTCGCTGTGCCGCTTTGCCGAGTCATAGACGTCATATTTTGGTTTTGGGATTCATTGAGTATCTATTCTGGACACTCGTGGGCTGCTGCTGCTGCTGCAGCTACTGCTGCTTGAGCATGCTACTTGAGTACTGTACTCTCATCAGTCGTTGATTCCGAGGGCGCGTCGTGCTCGTAAGCTGAGAAGACAGGATGGATCAAGTCAAGTGGGTCTGGGGTATAGGGTCCATCCCTCTGTACCACCTTCATGCTGACATCTCTCTGACTTTTTCATAGGGTTCTACTATTTGACTGCTTCGGGGTGAGAGCAATAGAGATAATGTTGCAGCTTCTCTGCAGGACCATTGCTGACATGGCCCTCGTCTGCTGTTCAGACCCTCATAGTGAGTTCTAGGCCCCTCTTGAGGTCCCTGTTTTGAAGCTCAATCTGACGCTGCTGCACCTCTTAGGACTGGGAACGAGGCATGTACGAAAACATCGGTCCTCTTCTTGAGCAAAAAACATGCCCAACCGTCGAAGAAGTCATCACATCGCTTGTCAATGAGCAGACGCCGATCCAGAATGCAGATAAGACGATGCCATACCCTATTGTGTGAGTACAGCATCTTAGACCCACCACCCAGCTCTGACACCCCCATCACAGTCTTCAGGAATCCTACCGTCAGCTGATTGCAAAGTTCCGACTACACTATGATCAAGACGACGCAGAGGCATTAGGCGATTCCGTGACGAGCTGGCCAGTGTTTTCAGATACTGGTGATTGCCTGGCGAGGCTGAGGGATTTGGGGCTCAAGTTGGTCATTTTGACCAATGTAGACGGGGATAGTTTTGACCAGTGAGCGGGCTCCACTTGTTGGGGAAAGGCGCTGACAGGCGAACCAGATTGCAACAGACGCTGGAAGAATGCAGTGGTATCAAGTTTGACGCCATCTACACTGCGGATGAGAGTAGGTCGAGCTCCAGGCGCGCTGATCTATCTATTGCTTATGTCTCTTCTCTCCCCAGTCGGGAGTCATAAACCTGATCTGAGAAACTTTGACTACGCCCTGAACGATCTATCAGAGAGCTTCAATGTGTCTCGAGGCCAAGTCCTCTGCGTGGCACAGAACAAGCTGATAGATATCGAGCCGTGAGTGAAGAGAATCCCCTCCAACGAAGCCATCCCACATCCTCATAGGATGACCTGGGGGAGCATATCCGATGCCCGTTGTCTAGACCTCTCATCGTGCTGACTTGTTACGTCCCAGGGCCAACAAAATTGGTATCCGTTGCGCGAGAATCAATCGCCCAGGCGTCCTTACAGGGCACCGGGGATCTATAGATTATACAAAGGCCGATTTTGAATTCGCCAGTCTGGAGGAATTTACAGAGGAGATGGAGAGGGTACATGATGGTGTCTAGGGGATGAGAGAACGGCAGGAATACCATGGTTGTCAGCTGTAGCGTATAGAGTACGATGATCTATGTATATGTTGTGTCAGTACGTTGCACAATATCAATCCCGCCGTCGCCCTCGGTCACTTTGGAAAATCATTTTTACGTCAACCGCCGAGTTCCACCCCATTGGCATTCGACAACACTGACCACTCATCAGTCTGGGTTCAGCTGCTCACGAGTCTGTGGGCGATAGCTGGACAGTGCTCAATACACTGCTAGAAGTGTAACCTCGTCGTCGAGCATAACTTGTATCCTTAAATCAGAGGGGATCACAACTTTCACCCTTTCTCCATCATGGCCTCTCTTCGGACATCCTTGAACACAGTTCGGAATCTCCTGACTCCCCGTCATCTCTCTCTCCAAGCGACCAACAATCAATTATCGACCACGCCTGGCCCCAACAGTATGCTACGTCGGTCTTTACATCAAAGTAGGACTTCCAAACTGGCCAGTCCCACCTCTTCAACCTCTACCTCATCCTCCAGATTGTCATCCACACCACACGTTTCCAACGGACCTCGACCGACTGGATCGACAGCATCGTCTTCATCTACATCCAGTACAGGCGGCTCATCCTCTGGGAAAAAGCCTCCCAGTCGTCATCTCATATGGTACAGGGAGATCGTCCCGGGTGAGTGGCCTTAGATTTCAGGCCCCTCGCCATTGGCCCCCCCCCCCCCCCCCTCTTTTCTTCCAGTAGATCAACCTCGCTGACTATCCATCCATTCCTTAGCCATGCTCCCCATCATCTTTCTCTCCTCCACCATCTTCCTCTCCTTGACACTCGTTCGGACCCATTTGTCCCATCGGAAATCCCTCGAGGAATCCACGGCCAAGATTCAAGAGCTGGAACTCCAACTTGCCAAACTCAGAAGAGAACAACGTATAGCGAGGGAGAGGGAGAAGAGGGAACGGGAGAGGATATTGCCCTTGCTCGTTGGCAGAGTATTGAAAAAGGTCGGTGTGGTAGGCCACGAGGAAGAAATGGAGGTGGGAGCAGAGGAAGACGAGAGGCTGGTGGTGTAGTGGGCACACCATCGGGTAGAGTCCTGGTCGAATCCATCTCGCGCAAACATGAGGCCGTGGCGATGACGAGCCCAGCGACAAGCCCATGATACCTCCGTGCACTCGGACCTGCTAGCTCGAGCTCGCGTTGTAGATATGAGAAAAATTCAGCATCAACAGAGAGCTTCTGCTTCCACCTCCTTGGAGCAATCTAACCTCGATCGCTCGCCAAGGACAGATCTTGACTCTTTGTGTGCCATTCCATTGCATGTGTCATCATGAGTTTGACTCGTCTACTGCATCTCGACATCGTCTCCGCTCCCCCCAGTCCCGCTAGACGGGGCGTCACCCGATGCAGGAGCAGACGCCGCCTCGGTAGACGAACTGTCACCGCCCGTAGCCGCTGTGCTGTCAGTCGCCTCTGCTCCGCCCTCAGTCGTCGCCTCAGGAGCCGGAGCCGCCTCTTGAGGTCCATCTTCCGGTTCTCCACGGCTTCTCCTCCAAGCTCTCAACAGTCGATCGACGTGTTCGTTCTCCCATACTCTAAAATTGCCTCTCTTTGCAGCTCCGCTAATAGAGATATCCTCCACCTCGTCAGATGAGGGACCAATGATGGCGATACTGGTATTTTGTATGGTGAGGAATTTGTCCTGCTGTAGTGTATCGTGAAGGGCTGAGAGACCATGATTGATGAGTTCAGGCAGGGAAGCTGAGCACAGAAGTGAGCTTGGGACTCGAGACGGACAGACAACTTGCCATTTTCAAACGATTCGAAGTTCTTCTCCAAGTACGTTTTTGCGCTTTGACTTCGTGCGCCGATCGAGTGGGCATAATACTCGAATGTGGTGCCAGCGGGGGAGAATTCGAAGAGGTGGGGTCCAGTCTCCTGATGAAATGGTGAGCTCCATGTGACTTGTCACCCCTTTTTGCTCACATCACGGCCAATGACCAGGAATCCCACTCCATAAGGTCTGCGACCGTACTGCTGGGTGTTGTTTTGGGCACCTGGATGACGATGAGCTAAACCCCATTGTGGGGTCGAATCTGCAACTCACGACCTGAGATACCTTGCACTGCTCGACCAACGGGAATTGGACGACCATACAACATTCGACTCTGCATAGCCTGTTGTCGCATAAAGTTGCTGCGAGGAAGAGGCATCAGCCCATATTGCATGATATGTCCCCACCTCAACACTCTCGCATCACTCATCAAGCCTGCGATCGCAACGCCAACGTGATCGTCGATCCGAATCAGCTTCTTCTGATACGTCGCTAGCTCTCCAGTCGATCGCTAGGGTAAAGCAGCAGCAGCATCAGCAGATTGTTCTTCCGTCGGGGATGTCATGGTCGGTGACGAAGGAGAGGATACGGCCTTTGCGTCGTTGGTCTCACGTCACTCACCTTGAGCGTCAACAACACCGCATGGGTCTTTGACCTCAGACCAATGGCTGCTGATCCCTGTTTCACAGCTTCGAGCGCATAGTCGATCTGGTGGAGTTTGCCCTGGGGTGACTGAGGGATGGTATGTCAGCTTTCAGTATGGAACCGAGGTCAAAAGCTTACGAAAGTAACATTGTCAGAGTCGTAGGAGTTTCGGAACTGAGCGATGGTTTCAGTATCAGAGTATTGTATGCCCCCCTCACCATCCTGGTAGTGACTCAGCAGACCTCGACGTCGATGAGATGCCTTGCTACACGATCAGATTGAGATGAACCCGCATTAAACGACGCTGAACGCGCAACCCCCCCTCCCTCATGACAGATGAGCCACCGTGAGAAAGTTAAACCACGTGGCAACCCTGGTGAGATTTTTTTTGGGATGAACGAAGGTATCGTTGTCTCGAGTGAGCTTGAGTATTGTATCTAATTGAGCATCGAGCAGCACGATGAGACCATTGACAGAGGATGAGACCAAAGCGGTGTTCGAGAGTGAGTCGGCTATACCTTTACACCTCTGAGGGCTGGAACTCATGTCATCCTGTAGAGCTCGCAAATTACATTGGCAAAAATTTAGTCCACCTCATTGACAGAGACGAAGACGATGCCTATTGCTTCAGGCTGCACAGAGATAGGTGAGTTGGCTCATGAAAGAAGCCTGGAATGACCCTTGTCGTCTTTCTTTTTCCATCCCTCCGACGCTCGCTAACGGTCACTTGCTCGCCTACAGGGTATATTACCTCCCTTTACCTATGCTGCATCTCGCTACATCAATTGCTCGACCGAACCTCGTCTCGTTAGGGACATGCCTAGGCAAGTTCTCGAAGAGCGGCAAGTTCAAGCTTGGTATCACTGCCCTGGACTATCTGGCAAAATATGCAAAGTACAAGGTGAGCTATTCATCAGAGATAGGTCAATTGGTCATGCCCGATCTACCTTGCTCGATCCATACCTCGTCAAACCTCCCTATACGTTCGGAAGGCATCTGCTGATCCCACCTTACAAGGTCTGGATCAAGCAACCTGGCGAGCTGCCTTTCTTATATGGAAATCACGTCGTCAAGGCTCATCTTGGCCGAGTAACAGAGGACACACCAGAGCATCAAGGTGTGGTAGTTTACAACATGTCGGACGTGCCCTTGGTGAGTGAAGAGTCGGGTGCCAAGAGGAAGAGGAACGAGATTTCATGGATCTCCTTGAGCCCGAGGGAATCCAACGAGTCACTGAGAAGCCTCGGATATATGGATCTCGCCACGCGCCACGTTCTCACTGCCTCGCAAAAGTCCCGTCATTCCCTGAACCTCGCTGACACTTCGCGCGCAGGGCTTCGGTGTGACTGCTCGTTCCACGTTAGATACGCGAAAGCTTGACCCAACAGGTATCATCGTATTCCATCAAGCGGATGTTGGCGAATTTCTTCGTGACGAAGATACAATGTTCTAGCCGACGATCTCGGTATCCCTCACAATCATGATTCCTGTAGACTATCAGCTTGTTGTATAATTTATCAGTTTCCTCTGCAATACGGGAAGTGAGCTCGATCCATAATGCGGTATGACTCACTATATGCATTCTGGACATGATTTTGACCATGTCAGATTTCCATTGAGCCATCCAAAAAGTGGAGGCCGACCATGCATCTATATTCTCACTCTTCGTCATCACCATTTCATCTAATCGGATCATTTACTGCGATCTCTCTACACCTGGGGTCCCATCGACCATGCTGTCCTCGCCTATCAACTTTCCGAAATGGATTGAGGAGAACAAGCATTTGCTAAAGCCTCCAGTTGGTGAGACACCTGTTCCCCCTCCGTCAAGTAGATCTGCATTCAGGAGCCGACCCGATGGTAGATCTCTAAGTCTATCGTATCGAACTGACACCCTGTGTCCCCCCAGGAAACAAATGTATCTTTAAAGGGGATAACATGCTCACGATGGTCGTCGGAGGTCCCAATTCAAGAGTCGACTTTCACATCAACACGACGGAAGAATGGTTCTATCAATATCAAGGGGCCATGACGCTCAAAGTTGTGGATGAAGGCAAGATGAGGGATATCATCATTGGGGAAGGAGAGATGTTCTTATTACCTGGTGAGAAGTCATCACAGGACGTCAACCCACAGCTTTTGGGGAGCGACGATGATGAGAGAAACCGCTCTGGCTGACGAAAAGCTTGTTTGATTTCTCCTGCTCCTCCTGCTTCGGTCCCCGCACCGTTCTTCTTTCTGGCCTGATCTGACTTGTCAACGACATCCCTTCGCTCCAAAAACTCCACATTTCCGCTCCTTGTGCGTGCTCGTTGCTCTCTTTCCTGTACGATGCCTTTCTCTGGCACCGCTGGTCCCAATCTCGCTTCACTGCGCGCTTCGATCTCACTAGCCAACACCCCTCATTCACCCCGCCGAACAGCCAACACCATTGGCGTAGTGATCGAGCTCATCCGACCGGAGACTGAAATCGACACGATGAGATGGTACTGCCCGTCCTCATCTCACTCATCCACAGACCTCGTGGTCATCAAAGAATCGACATTTCACTGTAAAGACATCGAAGTTCAGATCAAAAGTGCCATAGAGGAGTGGGTGGGGGATGAAGAAGGGAGAAGGTGTAAGAAATGTGGTGAGGTGGCTCCGGCGAGACCGTGAATGAGTGCGCAGGCATAGCATAGGGAAGCACCAAAGCAATCTGTCGAGTCTCAAAGAAGAGTGTAGAAAACTTGAAGATCGTTCGTCAACATAGACAGTCTCACCACCAGTCGAATTCACCCATCATGTATCCATTGCCCTGTGTCTCGTTGACGTGCACGCAAGCGTGCCTCGTCGAGGCATAGAGATCCATGCAGAGCATCAATGTAGAAGAACGAAGGGTAGTCAAAAGCGTCAAGAACGGTGGTTGTGGCCTTTTCTCAGAGATCCCGATATCGAGTCCTAGGACGGGTTTGTTGGCTATGGTAGTCTATTTCTTGTTCTTCTTCTTCTTTCCCCCTCCTCCAGATCCAGCCTTGACATCCTCTGTTGTACTCGGCTCATCGGCAGTCCCAGCTTCATCACCAGAGGACATGTCAGCCCATGGGGGAACGAACCACCGGCACTGCTAGACCACTCACCATCCTCTTTCCCCACGGCCAGATCTTTGACCTTGTCCGCCAGTTCCTCTACTGGCTCCTTGACGGCCTCTACGGCATCTTTCACCATAGCCTTGACACCACCTTTTGATTTTTGCCTCTCCTCCTCCTCCTGCTCCTCCTCTGGCTCTTCCGCGTCTTCCTTCTCCACCATGACCCCACTTCCCTCCGTCACTCCGCTTCCCTCTCCATCCGCACTACTGCTACCTCCAAACAATCCAGCATCTTCCTCTGGGTTCCCTATAGTCGCCGCAATTTTCCCCTTTCCACCATCCTCCAGATCCTTCTTCCAATCTTTGACGAGGGACGGGATGGCTGAAGATTGGTAAGATCGAGCGAACAACGCAGCTTCTGGAATCCTGTTGGTAGATGCTAACAGGTCAATACAGGCTTGGGTATCGCCCAATTGAAGATACGAAGCGAACGCGATGTTGTTCTGACCTTGAGCCTTGGCCTTCTTTGCCAATCGCTCAAGACCGGATCGATCGGATAACGAAGTGAACAGAAGGAGCAAAGCTGGGAGGTCACCCGCTTTCTCAAATGATTCCTGGGCCAAATCCATTTGCCACGCTGAGAGGGCCTTGTCACCGACGACCTTCCACTTGGGTTCAGAACCAGGTGTAGGAGCAGCTCGAGCGAGGGTCAGAGCTGTTTCAAGGTCGTTGAGGGCGATGGCGAGGTCGAATTTGTGATCGGGATCAGTAGATACGGAAAGAGCGAGCTCCCGCAGGTCTGAAGATGGAATTAGCTCATCTATTCGCAATCGGATCGACCCACCTTGAGCCTCAAGGAATCTCGCGATGCGATTTCGTTGATCGCTTGGAATGCTCGGCAACATGGCCTCGGCACCTTCCAAATCGCCTCGAAGAATCGCCGTTTGGTACTCGATGACGGTCAAAGACAAAGCATAACTGGAGATATTCATGTCCTTGTCTGTCACGTAGAGTCGATTGTGCGCCGCAAGGTAGCCAAGAAGATAGATCGGTCTGGAGTCAGCCTTGTCCTTGCACTGACTGTCCTCACTGGTCAAAGTGGTTGATGGCATGGGGCTGGTCGCCGACGAGGTAGCTCAAGCGATTGTTGTTGTTGGTGTAGACAAAGCAATCTCCGATCCACTTGCACGTTTTGACCCTGCTTGCGTGTCAGGAATATCATCATCACCAATCGAGCTCCGCTCACGGCTCTGAGATCTCCGCGACCACCTCAAAAGCCTCCTCAACACCTTCATCTCCGATGACATCCCCAGCGTCCACTCGAGCCTGGTACGCATCCCGGTCAAACCTCAATATGTAGTATGAATCCTCCGCCATGATCGCCACGAGGGAACCAGTAGCAGACCACGACACATTCGTCGCGTCGACTTCAATCCTTCTGACGACGGAACCGGTCTCCCAATCCCAAAACATGACGAATCCATTACCTCGTGCCGAGAGGACAGGTCCACCGTGAACTCCTTCGATAGCCCATGAGCCGGTCGACTTTACATGTCCGGGTCGTTCTTTGAAGTTTTTGTATGCTCTGATCTTGCTTTTGCCCTCTTGAACGGCGTACGTATTGGAATCAGAGGCCCAAGCGAACGACGTCCCCGAACCGAAAGCCTTGTTTCGCCACGCAAGCGCAGTGTAGATGATATACTCGCCGTCTCCGCACACGGTGACAAATCTGGATACGGTCAACACTACGCACTCACAAATATCATGTCACTCACCGTCCGTTCGGAGAATGTTGTAGACTTTGAGGATACACTTCCGTCGTTCCCAGGTCTCGCAACGACACGAGCAGCCTCTGTCCGTCCACGACTTCCTCGCCTGCATCTCCGATGGTGGACAAGTTGGCTGTGAGGATTTCAGTATTGCGGGCATAGACGACCTTTCCAGAGACGTCCATGGACACGGAAGGCTCGTCTCGGCCGAGCTGGACCAGTCAGCAGGTTCCTTTTTGTTCCTGCTCACCTTGACGACCACTGCTCCTTCATCGAATCCGACTGCAATCTCATTCCCTGTCCGCTTGTAAGCCACACACCAAGCTCTCTCCAAGCCATAGCTGAGAGTGTTCTCTAATCGGTATGTTGAGGAATGCCATATTTTGATGGTACCGTCTTCAGAACCAGAGACGATGATAGGGAGAGAGGGATGGAAGATGGCAAACGAGACATTGGCAGTATGAGATTCGAGACTCTGAACACAGGATTTGGCATGGTAGTCCCAGATTTTGAGGAGTCTGGAGCAGGTCAGAGAGTGTGACCCGGCGCACCTCGGCTCACCTGTCATCACCCGTTGTCACAAGGTAAGGCTTGTCTCCTCCATGATAATACTCCACAAAGTTGACTCCCTTTTCATGTGCTTCTAGACTGAAATTGGGTACGGGATTCCCGAGAGACCAGACTTTGACAGTGTGGTCGAGACAGGCAGAGGCGAATGTCTGAGGATCTTTGGGATTGACAGCGAGCGCCATGATGTAGTGTGTGTGCCCTTCAAAGATCTACACAAGTGTGAGCAATCCTCCTTGGACATGTTCATTGGGGGGGTTAAGAGCTGCTTGAGAAATGTCCCGGTATCGACCCACCTGAACACATCGCCAGCCCTTGTCCCAGTCCCAACATTTGATCGTCATATCATCACTGCCCGTGAGGACCAAACTCAATGTCGGGTGAACCGTCATACACCGGATATAATCGGGATGAGCTTCGAACGAGGTGATCTTCTCTCCTGTGGATACATTGTACACTCGGAGTTGGAAATCGTCAGAGCCGGTGACGAACTGATGACGGGTCAGCCCCATTCCCACTTCACCCAATCGTGCTTGCCGTGCGACTCACCCAGTTCTTTCTCGCGATATAACGAACACATCTCACTGGCACGTCGGAAATCTCAAACGTCTTCAAGTCGGTTTGAGTCTCATAGTTCCAGATCTTGACTTGACCGTTGCTGATCGCGACCATCAGCTTTGACCTACTCACACGGAATACCCGCTGTCCGAACTCACTACAATCCACAGATGACATGCGGTTCAGTCGGATGAAAATCTACAGATTTGACCCTATCTGACCGGGCCAAAAGCTTTCGCTGTGATCTGTGTTAGCTGGCAAAACTTTCCCGCGAAGATCAGTCTCACGTTGACATCGAGTAGCATAGGCTACAGAGAGTCAGTGACCATGTCAGTAATCAGCTTGAGCACTTACCATGTTGAACAGAAACGGTGGTCCACCGTGTCTTTACCCCCGCGAGACTCAACACCGGATGCCTGATTTTTTACCACGGCTCGTTCCTAAACTTCGGCAGGAACCCCTCTCGCTCGTCTCGTGGGATATCTAAGCGACCGTGAAAGGCGTGAGATGGCTCGTAAACAGAGGATAGGATGATCAAGGTGAGTGAGCTGAGCCTTGAGGGTGATGATGGGCACATTGAAAGCGCGGCAGTCGTGGAATGGATTAATGTGACGTGGCACGTGGACTCGCGTGGCTTATCAATGCAGCCTATATACAGATCCAAGAAGCCTATGATATGTTGTTCAATCTCCTCCTCGTGCAGTCTTGACTTTGTGACGCTGGTCGGCAGTCCCGCTGAGAACGCGACGCTGATGCCTACCGAAGAAGCTGCTTGATTGATGACCATGTTGATCTACATGCCTGCCAGAAACGTCCTCCATCTTCCTTCTCCAAGGTCTTCAAATGTTCCTCGATGGCGGAACGAACACTCTGCTGGATGGCCAACTGGATCTTCTCAGCCGTTCTATTGAGATGAGCGCCCGGCAGACGCAAATCTGAGCAAGCGTACGAGATACCCAGCAAGTAGGCGCTAGAACTGTACGGCCGAGATCGGAGAGCTAGCATGTCCTCCAGAGTCTCAGTCAACGGTGGTGCCAAGTGATCCCATAGTTGATCCAAAGCGACTGATCCATTTTTTCCTGTCAAACGTCGAAAGACCTCCTGACCCAGATCCCAGAGTCCGATCTTGTCGTCCATCTCTTCTTCCAGACCCGCACAGATCGTCTCTCGTTCATGTAATGCTGGGAAACCATTTTGAGCACGAAGGGCACGCATGACGCACATGCCCAGGGGGGTGGCTAATTTGGAAGGAGATAGTCCAAAATGATCCAAGAGAGAAAGATGGGTGAGCCATACAGCGGCAGAAGAAGCGTTATCAGAGAGCTGGATTGTCGCTACAATGTCCAGAGTCGCGAGAGGTTCCGTTTCGAAGCTTGACATTCTACTCAGTGCAGCCTGGACGCGCTCATCTGTCGCAATATCCAACTGCTGAGGACCCATATGGATCGTCTCGTCCCATGTCGTCCCGTCCGTTGGCCATCTCGACCCCACATGGCGTTCATAGGATGCAACATGACGACCAGGATCCAATGACTGGATCCATCGTCGAATCAGTCCGACTTCCTTGTCCGAAAAGGCTCCAAACATCCTCCCTCCCCACGTCATCTCCTTGACCAGTCGACTCTTGGCCGGTCGACCTGGAACAATCCACGGTCTGGCGCCTGCCAGCGCTCTGACAAACTCGACAATTTTGGCGGACGACATGGAACGCGGATCCAACCACTCTTCGACACTACGTCCTTGGAGTCGCAACCTCAGGGCGCAGTGTAGTCCACTCGCAGCTGTCGATTTGCGTCGAAAGAGGTCGGCTACTTGACTTTCGATGAGCGTGGCGGGAGTCGGGCTTTCCTGCGTTGGTCGCCACGTTCCACCCTTTGTCTTTTCAAACTCTATCGGATTCCAAGGTGTCGTCGGCAGACCATCTGCAAGAGCGGCTCCAGCTTGCACTCTCCTCCACGCTTTGTCTTGCTCTTTTGGTCCCTTGTCCACCAGCACACCCTTCAGATACCGGTCTACCGCCTCCAGCCCCATCGCGGCGTGTCCACAATCCGGATTATCAATCGTAATGTGAAGAGCAAAGTAATAATCGTCAATCTTGAGCTCCCGCAGTTCGTATGATTCCACCAAGAGATGGTACGCCAATGTCTCGTAAGCCATGTTGAAACCTAGAGCTTCGGGCAAGAAATCTTCCGAACCAGCCATCAAGCCGATACATTGTTGAGCTACGGCGGCTTTCCAACATCGAGCCACGCCTTGGCCATTGAAACCGTCAAAGCCAATCTTGTCGCCCGGTCGGCTCGCCTCATCATCTAGCGTCTTGAGCAGCTCGTGATAGATGTAGACATGGTTTTTACCGAGATCACCATCACCAAATTCCTCGGTCATCACTTGCCAAGCGATTCGAGCTGCTCTCCGAGCAGAGCTGGCTGTACCGATGTTCAAGACATTGGATAACCATCCTCCGTCGACGTACTTGACGCAAGCTGCCAGTCGAAGCCAGAGTACGGCGTGATCTCGTGTGGGATAAAGTTCTCTCGGTCCACCGGCTTTTCTTCGCTCAATATAGGCTCGATATTTGTCCCCGGTCGCTGCGTGAGAAGCGTCAAAGTGAGCATGGAGGGAAGCTTTGGAGTATGTTGGTATAGCCAGGAGGGAGGTGGTATCATCCTGTGCAGCATGGACCGACTCATCGAGCAGTTGAATCAGTCGTTCTCGAGCCAGATCGATGGCATCTGAAAATTGGGAGTCAGATGCGCACAGCTCGGAGAATTTCAAGTGAACACACCGGGATGATCCTCAAGATTCTGAAGCTTGTGATACAATTGTTGGTCCCTCGACATTTGCCTCTGCTCATCGTCGGCAGACTTTAATGGATCGTCAAACCATGCCCGGTAGTCATCCTCGGCATTCTTGTCATCATCATTGACCGGGATCCCTGTCGATCGGGAGAGTGGCTTGGCGTGTCGTTTGCGGTGCCACATCACGAGGATCACCGGGAGGGGTATGAGTATGAATGACAGGAGATCGAGCAGGACATGAGGGGTGGGCATCAGTGGGAGCATTGCGTCGATGGGATGGAGGGAGAGAGATATTGCATGATATAGGGAGAGATGAAGACAGATTCAGCGTGATATATATGTATACCTTTCCAGGGATGCGATGAGGGCTGGATCATGTCAGCAGTGGAATGACCAGTAATCCGGGATGGTCATCATTGGTCGGAGAGTGTGTGTGTGTTCATGTATCATTCGCTTAATACACGGCACGAGTCGATGCCCGTGGCGGCGTCATGGAGACACGTTGGGTGATGACCTGAGGAATGTACAGGATGGTTACACTGTAACGATATGGCCGGTGGTATTTGGAGATCTCCCAGCCGGCATGATGAGCCGCCTATTATAGCTTGGCTTGACTAGAGCCAGTATTGATCTTATAATGTTGCAACCGAAGACCTTACGCCCTTACACGCAGGCCCAATCCGGCGGACCAGACTAGGGGCTTTGCGAAGGCTTCGCATCCTCGCATATCTACCGTGGTGATTGCTCACGTCCCGCTCGAAGACACTCGCCTACAGATGATATGCTGGACTCGCTCCTTGTTCACAGCGGGATGTTTGACTTTGATCGGCCTCTCTGGTGGAAGACTTAGGCGCCCCCCTATCACGCCAGATCTAGCTGGGAAGCCATCACAGTGCAGCTTGATCGACATTCAGCTACGCGAATGAGGCTGAGAGTCGAAATCGTGACTGTCGGCGATAAGAAAGGAGACTGGGCAAGGTGGAAACAAACCCGACTGAGTAGCTTTCCCACGCTTGTCAGGACTCTGATCTCAGCTTGCGCACTTCATCTCCTGGCTAGCCCAACGTCGAATACTCTATCCCATCCACCATGTCTGCTGATCTTCACTGGCTTTTGCTGAGAAAATGGAACTCGTTCCAACACCCTGGAGTTAAGGGAGGTCCCACTCTTTCCAAGGAACACGTGAGTGGGCGGCCTGAGCAGCGACAGGGGACACAGATGCCTAGCTCCAAGCAGACTAAGTATGACATCTGAGGCCATTCGTCTCGCCTGCATGATTTCTGCGCTTTGATACGGCTCGAGAAGGATACCTACTGACCCTCTAATTCCCAGGGAAACTTGCGAAACATCCACTCTCACAAATACTCTGGTCTCTCCAACCACAACGTGAGTTAGAGATCTTCTCTCAGCCGTCAACGCAAAGGCTCACAAATGCAACCAGAGCGTCAGCATCTTTGCCGACAAGAACGGAGCTATCACCTTTACCAAGCTGAAGAAGGATGTTGCCCCTAACAAGGTGTGTAGACATGCCATGGAGCCGCTGCAAAAGCAGGAAGGGGAGGAGCATCCACTAACCATTCCCGGCTTCCAGGTTAGGGACGCACGATCTAGCTCTACGCTCCGACGAACGACTGGATCTCGACGAGCCAACAAGATCGCTGCTGTCGAGACCGCTGGAAAGGGATACAGGGCTGATCTCCGACAGGTAAGTTTATCGATGCAGGAGTCGTCGGGCGAGTCATCAACGTTCTTTCTACACATCTTTGACACGAGGCGTTCAACCTTGTACTCTCCGCGTCTCTACCTCCCTTCTCCACTCGCTCGCGTTTCGCCTCTCGCTCGATCCGCAGCCATTCTAGAACTCCCCGGACTCACAACCTACCCATGATGGGCCGAGTGTAAATGGTCTGCCATATCCCAAAAATTCCATCCTTTAAAATCCATCTCTCGACCCTTTTTTGTCCACGCCTGAAGAGATACTGTGCTAGATGGAGACATGCGAATGCTGACATTGGCATCTTTCTTTCTCTCTTTCTTAGGCCGCCGTCGCCAGGATCTCTGCTTTGTCCCGTGCCAACGCCCGAACTGCTGCTCCTCGCAAAGAGTTCCCTGCGAAGACCAGGGGCAAGAAGTCTGTTTCTGGAGGAAGCAAGGCTCAATCTGGAAAGAAGGAGGACGACGATGTCATCGAGCTCGACTAGGCTGCGAGTGTCTGTATAGCAGGAGGATATGCATGAGCGCGAGCGGGAGTGTATGAAGCTTATGACGTGGCATTTGGACTCATTGAAGTCACGAGCATTATCAGCAGTTCAGGCTGAAACACATACCCGCTGGACTGAACATTTCAAGTTCACTCGACTCGGTTCACTCGCACTCTTGAGCAGCAGAAAGACTAGTGGATGCTGCTATCGAGACCAGTGGCTTTCACGTTCAGACAAGTAGCGCGACAGATCAGACACATCACTCAGCTCAACAGACCCGTCCATCGAGCTACCCTCACCCTACCACTTCACCGTTCGTTCAACACCTCTCCCTTTCTCCAAGCAAAGACCAGAACTCCATATACCAGCATGTCTGGGACCATTTCCGATAACGAGATCATCTCGAGGCTTCAGAAGCTGTCCATATCTCACCCAGAGGTCATTGAGCACGCTCCAGTCAAAGGCGGAGCAGAGTGGAAAGCAGAGCTGGACAAAGTTGGACATGGCTCCGTTGCATTGACCAAGACGGTATGTGTTCTTCGTCATGACACTCCCACTCGTAGCTCGCTCATGATGGCCCTTTGCAGCTCCTGTTCAAGCCCAAGACAGCTAAGACTGCCGCTCCCACGCCCGTCCTCGTGATCGCTCTCGAGTCCACAGAAACCCCTTCATCTATCCTTGGAAACCATCTCAACCTCAAAGAACTCCGATTGGCCTCTGAAGATCTCATCAAAGAAGTCATCCCATCCGCTCAATCCAAAGACGATGTCTCTTCCCTTGCTCTCCCTTCTATTCCTTCCACATTGCACGTCTGCCTTGACAGTGCGCTCGCATCGTCTTCCGAGGCATACGGTGTCCATTTGACCAGTTCAAGCAAGACCGTACTCCTCAAAGGCACAGATCTGAAATCGTACCTTGAGAGCTTGACAAGTGGAGGCAACGTTCAAGTGGTAGACTTTGCCGCCCTCAAAGCGGCTGCTCCAGCTCCAAGCGCTCCTGCCTCAGCTTCCAAGCCCAACGCCGCGTGAGCTAGATTTGGGACTCGCGCATGGCATAGCTGACGTCTTCACACAGTCCCGCTGCAGCTGCACGGACGCCAGCTGCAAAGAAAGATGAAGACTTGTATGAGATGGCCATTCAGTACAAGAAGGAAGAAGATTTCCCAGGGTGGTATGCAGATGTGAGTCATGGGTCTTCTCGCGGGCTGGTCTGATGGTGTCCCCCTTTAGGTCCTCATCAAAGGACAAATGCTCGACTACTACGATGTCTCTGGATGTTACATCCTGCGACCGGGCTCGTACACTGTCTGGCAGTACATTCAGAGTGAGCTTCTAAACGTCCGGATAGAGCCTAGCTCATCCGCTCTAGGCTGGTTCGACGAGGAAATCAAGAAGCTTGGTGTACAAGATTGCTATTTCCCCATGTTTGTCTCCAAAGCTAAGCTCGAGAAAGAGAAGGACCACATTGAGGGCTTTGCGCCAGAGGTCGCTTGGGTCACCCGAGCGTGAGCTGATTTTTCACTCGTGTGTTTTCCCGCTGACATTGCGCAGTGGAAGCTCTGAATTGGAGGAGCACATTGCCATTCGACCGACATCCGAGACTGTCATGTACCCATGTGAGCTGAATGCTGCTCTTTCAATCGGAGACGACCTAGCTGACCATGTCAGACTACGCCAAATGGATCCAGAGTCACCGAGACCTTCCTTTGAGACTGAACCAATGGAACTCGGTCGTCCGATGGGAGTTCAAGAACCCTCGTGAGCTATATGCCGATGATACTCGCTCACATACCGCACAGAACCTTTCCTGCGAACCCGAGAATTCCTATGGCAAGAAGGACACACTGCCTTCCTCACCCGTCAAGAAGCCGCCGACGAAGTTATGGAGATCCTTGACCTCTACGCCAAGGTCTACACCGATCTGCTCGCTGTGCCTGTGATTCCCGGAAAGAAGTCTGAAAAGGAAAAGTTTGCCGGTGCAGACTACACCACCACGGTGGAAGGCTTTATCCCGACCACTGGCCGAGGAATCCAAGGAGGCACGTCGCACCACCTCGGACAAAACTTTTCCAGAATGTTTGACATTGTCGTCGAGAACCCAGATCGATCCGTCACGGAAAACGATGGCAAGATCCACGTCTACCAAAACTCTTGGGGTCTCTCCACCCGTACCCTCGGAGTCATGGTCATGGTCCACGGTGATGATCAAGGATTGGTACTTCCTCCTCGAGTGGCGCTTCAGCAAGTCGTCATTGTGCCTGTGGGTCTGAGCAAGACGGAAGGCAAGAATGGGGAGATCTACGACGCTTGCTCGAAATTGGAAAAGACCTTGATTGCCGGAGGTATCAGAGCCAAGGCCGACTTGCGAGAAGGATACACTCCAGGATGGAAGTTCAACGATTGGGAGATGAGGGGAGTTCCTCTCCGACTCGAACTTGGACCTCGAGATATCGCTGCCAACTCTGCCTTGGCGGTCCGACGTGTCGACAACCACAAAGCGCCGATGCCTCTTGACGGAATCGCCGAAACTGTCAAGGCGTACCTTGAGGATGTGCACGAGAGAATGTACGAAAAGGCAAAGGCAAAGTATGATTCTTGTCTCAAGACGCTCAACAACTGGGAAGATGTTGTCCCGACATTGGACGCGAAGAATGTCTTGGTCTTGCCGTGGTGTGAGGAAGAGGCATGTGAGGACATGATCAAGGAGAAGAGCGCCAGCCAGTAAGTGTTGGCAGGTGTTATCCCATGAGGCGCCTGGCTGATGCTTTCCCCCCAAAGGGCCAACAAGGGCGTGGCTGAGGATGCGAAAGCTCCTTCTGCGGGCGCTAAATCGCTCTGTATTCCCTTTGACCAGGAGAGGTTTGGACCCTTCCCGGATGGCAAGGATCAAAAATGTATTCAGTGTGGCAAACCTGCCAAGAGCTGGACAATGTTCGGAAGGAGTGAGTCGGAGACGTACAGCTCCCGTCAGACTCGGCACTGACCTTGATCAGGTTACTAGATGGAGTTCTCTCAGCATGGTTCAAGTCGGTTCGAGTATAGCTTTGGGGTCTACGCATCTGAGTTTCACCTTATGCATCTATTCTTTCTTATGCTTTCTCTCCAGCTGGCTGTTTTGGTGGTCGTCTCATTGATCGATGTGCGAATGATCCCAGGTGTCTGCCTGTTGGATCATACGCGTTCAGATCTACTACGTCCTCATCTACGCCCACGAATCCATGCCGTGTGTAGACGCTGTTGGCCCCTGGGAGGGCAGTGAGCCAAGTCGGGAGTGAAGGGGATTCCGAATCAGTGATGCGCAGACAATGCTCCATGAGACGCGTTGCTAGTCCTTGATTCTGATACGCAGGCAAGACGCCTAGCATCTCGATACCTTGTGATCAAAAGGGCGACTTCAGCAAACGACACGACAATCTCTACTCGAGAAGACCTTTGGGTGAGACAGACACACACCGTAATGCCTTCCGCTCATGCCATCGTATAATCTCGCTACGCCCTCCAGTATAGCTCTCAGAGCATCTTCATTCCCACCTGGTAGAGACGTGATAGATCGGATAGCGTCCCCAGCTTCCGTTCTCACTGATCCATCGGATGAACTCTTGACCACGCGGCCTTCGTCCAGCTTGAGCGCAACGCATCCGCATAGTGTATCTCTGCTCTCGTTTTCGCCTGCACATTCGCCTTCACCTTCATCTGGACCCGTCACCTCTGTATCGACCCGTCTGCTAACCACCATTTTGAACAGCCTCACAGCTGGATCTCTCAAAGCCCCTCGGATCCTGCCTTCGTGCATCATTCGCTGGATAGATCCGTCCGTATCGTACGGCATCATCGCGGCGTACATTGCTGTCTTGCCTAATGTCATTTGGAGGACGTGAATCAGTTCTTGGACGTCGGCATCGGTTGCGGGTAGGATGGTGAAGTGGGACATGGCGAGCTGAGGCCTACAGGATGGTGGCTCGTAGCCTGCGTAAGGACGACAAGATGACGAGTCCTAAATCAATTGAGTTTATGTCATTCAGCGATGAAGACCAGAAGACCAGAAAACAGCGGTACAAGAGTGATGCTTGGATGAATCAAATGACTCTCATCAGGATTCCATCTGGTGCACAGGCTGCAAGCGAGGATGGAGCTGTCAAGAATGCAGAACAGGTCGTCGCAAAAGTCGTGCATGAGCTAAAATCGCTCCTGCAAAGGTCATTTTATCTCTCCTTCCCCCTCCTCTCCTCGCCTCTCCTCTACTCTCAGCACCCGACCCGTCACCATGGGGCCTCAGTACCCTCCGCACCGTACCCCAGAGCCCTGCTCTATAGCTGTCCAATACGTTGGGTAACACGCTCCTTCAATGTGGAGTCTGATGACCGGGACGATCAGCAGAGCGCCCTATCGCTTTGTGCTTGATCACTCACAAGCACTCATCAAAGTCTGTTCGTTGATTACTATATCCGTCGTATCGGCCTTGGGTCGAGACACACGAGCGGCAATAGCAGCTGCGTCCGTTTCGAGAACGATACTGCACGGGGGAGGCGATTGCGAGCGTCAGCGACTCAAGTGGCAAGGGACATGTGTTCAGATGTCGCATGATGGACTCACCCATCATCCACCGTCTCATCCGCCGCGAGCAAGACCATATCCAGACCTTCTAAGACGTTCCGCTTCTCTACTTGACCTCTCAGCAGGAGCGATACGGCATCGTGGAATGCCGTCAGAGTGAGATGCAGCATCAATTCGTTGGAAGAATTGAGTGGTCCGACGAGGATGAATGTCAGGTCGGTGGATTGACGAGTGAGGATGAGGTGGGGTGGGAGAGGGTGTATCTCGCCTGGATACAGAATTTAGCCAGTGAGGAGGAGAGGTTCGGTAGTTCGCCAAGAAGCGGGACAAGAGAAGGGCGGAAACGGTGTGATTAGCAGAGCAACCCATTCGTCAGCACAAAGAACCTGACAATGATCAGCGGGTACTCACCTCCTCCCCGTCGGATCTTCTCAAACACATTCTTCTCAAACGCTCGTTGCTCTTTCAGGCTCCCAAGTCCAGGCATACCGGGACCGCCTGAGTAGGGTCGTATCAGCGTAAGTCCGGATTCAGGGTGCATGAGTCTCGAGCGAAGAGAAGATGGAACGATTTGCCCGGTCCTGGAACACTCCAAGTGCGCTCCGATTCAAAATGTCGTCTTCCTTTTCCTCCCATCCAGTCTCGGACGCCCTCCACATAGATCTCTGCCAAGCTCGTCCCTAGCTCCGTAGCCCAGAAAAGGCCACAGGGATGCCTTCGAAGACAATTCTTTCGACATATTTCAAGCCCTTCGCCTCATTCACATTCTCACATCCTCACATCCGGTCCTGAATCCCGTTTAATCTAGTCGCTTAACGTATCGCACCGGCCCAGCCCTTCCCATCTGACATCTTCTCGCTCTCCCGTGGCTGAACCGCTCGCCCACTCTCTCGCGCAGAGACACACACTCACCAGGTCCGACGCCCAAATCCGCTGTGATACCTGTCCCCAACGCGGTCTGATGCGGCGGCGCATAGTATTTCGCGAGTACTCTGTTACCATCGGAATCAAGAATCAACAGTGCAGTGATGGTGTATAGGGACAGGTTCGCCTGCAAGGATCAAGAGAGGATCAGCGTCACTCTGTGTTGGAGAATGGCAGGGGCAGGTATTTGGATATCTAAACTAGAGACGGATATGTTGAGAGGGAACCAATGACCTCGGCAAGATGATTTGAAGGCTCTGTAGCCTCTCTCACAAGCTCTACTCACCATCTTGAACTTGTTTGCCCCCTTGCTCGCTGATGTTTGCGGGTCGAGAAGTGGACTGAAGATGGAATAAAGACAGCAGCACATAGCATGGTCGACACGTCCCGAGCATTTCAACGAAACGGAAGCATAATTTCAGGTGGTGGCAGCAGCAGCACTGTACATGGGATGCATACTGTCTACCAGCTACAAGAGATACTCTATACAATCGCGAACTGTGGGAGAGACAATCGGATTCCGTATCATGATGTATACAGGTATCGTTGAGCAGAGATCGAGTCAGACTTGTTTGACCTAGCGCGTGTGTCGAATCAGTCCACAATGGGACCTAGACAATCAGGAGCCCTCGAGTCCATATCCATTCCCTCCAACCCGAGTGAATTTGTACTGTCCACACTCAATCCTCTCAACGACATTCCACGAGGTCGTACAGGCATAGTAGTGATGTCTGGCGGGGAGAGCAACTGGCCCCTGGTATCGACGAGCGGGTCGACAGTCGCGGACTTGATATCGAGACCTAGGCCTACTGGGGGTGCAAGTGTGTCACCTACGATTGTGTCAGCTCACATACTGGATAGGATGAGGATGAATGGACCAGTCTGGCTCATCGTCTTGACCTTCTTGTCGTCCGTCCTCGTACCGACGCCCGCCTGACCAGAGATCGAGCCCAACAAGGACATGGCCACCACCCCAACGGTCGCACTCATGAGACCAGTCATTCGACGCGTGAGCCACCCGAATCGTTTGGCAAATGGTACGAATGTCTCGACGACGTCTCGCACGTCGACAACGTCGCGAATATGAGTCGCTTTGCCTGGTCTCCAGTATCAGCGGTACTCTCCCAAGATACGGACATCCGCACTCACCAACTTCGTTGAATTCTACTATGGTGGAGACTGGCAGATCCCAATGTAAGAGGTATTCAAACTCATCGGCTAGGGCACCGACCAAGCGTCTGAGGAATGTGGGATTCGAATCAGGCGACGCAAGGTCCATGAGATCGTCGTCGGACGAGACAAGGGAGTCCAGGGATGGAGATCGGGACAAGAGCGAATCGGAATGCGTCCGGGTTGAGAGAGATGGGAACAGAGTCAGGGTGATTGTGCTGAATAGGTCAGCTCGATGTCCCCAGCTGACAGCTCACTGATCAATCAACGCGAGATGGTATCCGTCTGTCACACAGTCAGCCCTGGGTAAGACGGAATGAGGACCCACCATAACACTCCATGGCTCCGATATCCCTACACGCAGCACTGACCTCCCATAGCTTCCACCACTTCGCCGAGGAGGGTTGTTCGTCCGCCTTGACCGAACTATCCAGACGTGTGTGGTCTGGCCATCCGACCTGATGATCGGATGTGAGACTGGCTTGCCTGGCCCTGTTCTTCACTATCTTGTTCTCTGCCGGGTAAACCGCCTCCACATCGGGCGAGCTGAGCTCCTCTGCACCTAGAATCGCTGATCGGAGATACCAAGCTGTCGATCTCGCTTGAGCGATAAGATTGGAGGGTGTGAGCGAAGGGACTGACAAGGACGAGACGAGATGGAGGAGGACAAAATGAGCGAGGAATGATTGTCGACTAGTGGTCTGAACCAGGGGATGATCGTAGCCTGAGTAGCCTAGATGAGACACTACATCTCACCCTGATCACTCTTGACTCACTGCAATCCGCTTCCAACCATCTCTCCACCACTCGTCTGACCTCCTTTTCCCTCACTGTCCACGCATCCTCATCTTTGCCTCGACAGCCCTTGTACAGCACGCGATGTATCTCCACCAGCGCATCCATCGTTTCGGGGCCCAACGCATTGGCGACGTTTTTGAGATCGAGCGTACTCATAGACTGAGACTGCATTGGGTCGCCCATGTCCTGATAAGCCGATTGCTTTTGTACCCTCTTTTCCGGAGTATGAGGGGATCTCACTTGGTATTCCTGCAATGCGGTCCGAAGAGCGATCAACGACGCTCGAGACGGTCTCCTCAAACCTGTAGAATGTGACGCGGAAGGTCGTCTAGACCGAGCCGGGGAAGTGTGAGCCGTGTGCGAATGACCGTGTGTTCTAGGGTATGATAGGGAGACGGCCGAAGTGCCATTCGATCGTATGGGCTGAACAGCCTCGTCAGACATATCCATGGAGATAGGGTCTGATGGATCGCTTGATGGTGTGTCATTGTGCATCTTGTCGTTTGAGGAAGAAGATCCCGGATGATGCGAATGTGAGAACGAAGACGTGTCTAAGGCTGGGCTGGTCCTTGAAGAAGACAGGAAGAATGTTGGATGGCGACGGCGTCTATGTGGATCGTCCGCTTGAGTCGTCGGGTTGCCTTGTGCACCGGCACCTAAGAGTGGATGGCGAGACGTAGAGGGCATCGCGTAAGGTGAAGCGAATCAAGAGGTGAAGGTGATTCTATCTAGTCCTCCTGTTGCTCGCCTTGCTTGACGTTTATGGCGAGAGTAATAGCTTCGCCGAAGATCTTCTCTCTCTCTCTCTCTCACTCTCCAACCTATTCACACAACCTTCCCGGACGCCTCCAGATGATACAACGATAAGATGTGAGATACAACCGAGGTAGATGAGATGAGATGGATGGTCTCGGAAAGATCCCATTTAGCCCGATTCCGGCAAATCATTCAATCGATGATGTCTGCGCTGGACATTGTCGCTGAGACGATCTTCAGAATGCATAGATCATGGCTCAAGAGTCGATCAGGAGCCACTGCATACGATACATATTAGCTTATATCTAGCTCGATTCGGTCAAGCATCTTCTCCCTCGCGGTCTGGTCAGAGCACGCGGTGAAGACGAGGACCTTCTCCGGGTCGCTGGCTGTCCTGATCGCCGTAGGGGTCCTCCTTCTCCGGTCTCAAGCGATCCTGGGGCTATTCTGCGCTTGTGTGATTGTGCGAGGAGGCCAAAGAGCTCCCAGGTTACACAATCACACTGTTGCTGAGGTCTTGAACATGCAGGGTGGCGGATCTAGCAATGACTGAAAGAATGGTGTATCGTGGGTTGCGGTGACCCAGGGAAGGGGGGAAATCAAGAGATGTGCGCTGTTTGCCCATCGGTCCCTGTCACACCTTTGAGATCATAGTTTCGACTGTTGCCTATTCGACAGCGCAAATGCGAGCGACGCTTGGCAGGTTAGGTCTGAGACTATTCGCAGGGGCAACTGTAAGCAATCAATACATGTATTGTGTTGGGATAGGTACGGCTTTAGCTCTTCCTTAAGCTACGTCCTTGAGAGATGACAGGCCGTGCAGTGAGTCAGAAGTGATGATATCGCACACCATCGGGCTACTCTCATGCCATGGACAGCGTATGAATGGACCTCCTTACAGATTGCGGCAAAAGTGAAGACCTCCACTTCGCGGGTCATGATGATGACATCCCCTACCTTGTACATCTCCATCATAAAGTCTTTCGCCAAGTGCGTATCGACCTTTCTAGTCAGAAGCACCTCTTAAGCAGTGAACAGTCAGCTTCATCCTCCTCAAGCATCATGTCGACCGAGGGCAAGGTGAGCAGCAAGCCGAATCAAGATCCCTACGTCATCCCCTTGTTGACGCTCGATATCCCAGACGATCACTTGTAAAGCAGCCGTAGCATGGGAGGCAGGTGAGCGAGAGACCAGAGGTCTGTACCCAGGTCTATCTGAGCTGCGCCAGGTAAACCTCTCTCCATCGAAGAGGTCGAAGTCGCTCCTCCCAAGGACGATGAGGTCAGAATCAAGGTCTTGTAGTGAGTATCTATCTGAAAGAGCCATGAAATCAGTTGCTGACCATGTGAATCGCAGCACTGGTATCTGCCATACGTGAGATTCATACATCTCTAATCTACGAGCTTTTATCGCTGACACCCGCTTTCTCCCTCCTCAGAGACGCCTACACACTCTCCGGCAAGGATCCTGAGGGCGCTTTCCCTATCATCTTAGGACACGAAGGCGGAGGAATTGTTGAGTCTGTAGGCAAGGGCGTGGACAATGTCAAAGTCGGAGATCATGTCATTCCTCTGTATACTGCAGGTGGGTGCGGAGATACCGATCCATGCTCCCGCTGACAGCTATCAAGAGTGTAAAGAATGCAAGTTTTGTAAATCCGGCAAGACCAACCTGTGTGGTCGAGGTGAGCAGACTAGCCGGCGTCGTCGAGGATCCTCTCTGAACAGGTACACAGTCCGAACGACTCAAGGCAAAGGCTTGCTACCCGACGGCACAACGAGGTTCAAGTGCAAGGGCAAGGATATCCTAAGCTTTGTGAGTGTTACACATATCCGTCGAGCTGACCTGTTATCAGATGGGCTGCTCGACCTTTTCTCAATACACTGTCGTCTCGAAATTCTCCGTCGTCACCATCACCGACAAGGCGCCGTTGGAAAAGGCTTGTCTATTGGGATGTGGAATCACCACGGGGTACGGGGCCCTGACCAAGACACCCGGGATCGGTGAGTGGACATACTGAGCTTCGCGCGCGCGCGCTGGAGTGTTTCTGACGCTTTCTCGCCCGCAGACAATTCTACCGTCGCTGTATTTGGAATCGGCTGTGTTGGTCTCTCCATCCTCCAAGGCGCGAGAGCCAAAAACTGCTCGAGAATCATTGCGATCGATACCAATCCGAAGAAGGAGGAATGGGCCAAGAAGTTTGGCGCAAGTGAGTCGGCTCTCGGTCCTTGATCACGTCTAGGTTTTGACCGTCCTCAGCCGACTTTGTCAACCCTAAAGATCTGCCCAAGGACAAGACCATCGTCGAGTACCTGATCGAAATGACGGACGGAGGTCTGGACTTTACGTACGATGCCACTGGAAACGTGAATTGTCTTTCGGATGGGCTTCAGCTGACCTCCAGGTCGACGTCATGCGATCCGCTCTGGAGGCCTGTCACAAAGGCTGGGGAGTGTCGACGATTATCGGAGTTGCTCCAGCCGGCGCTGAGATTGCTACCCGACCGTGAGAATCACAGTTCATCCCTCGACTGACCCTATGGCAGTTTCCAGCTCGTCACTGGTCGAGTGTGGCGAGGATCAGCGTTCGGAGGTGTCAAAGGCCGAACAGAGATGCCAGGGATCGTAGAGGGTAAGTTGGAGGACCATCCTTCGTGTGCTTAAAGGCCCAGACTACCTCAATGGAACGCTATGGGTGGACGAATTCGTCACTCACACTCAGTCCCTGGAGGACATCAACAAGGGCTTTGATGATATGCACGTGAGTCGACTCGGCTGGGATAAGGGCTGAGCGGTCACAGGCCGGAGATTGTATTCGATGTGTGGTCAACATGGGCTTCCCAAAAGAGGACCAAAAGGAGTAATCAGTCTTGTTCAGTTCATGCATCGTACAGTCAATGAAGAGGGAAACTAGAATCTTCATCTTACGAGTCCGAGCAGTGCCTGCTCTGCGGAGTATCTATCACTTTCATACAACCTAATCATTTACATCGTGACTCGTCATCGCGTTCGGATGTGCGATCGACTTCACAGCATCATCTTGGGTGCTACCCGATGCACATTCTCCACCTACAACGCCCCCATAGTTCCAGCAACCAAGGACACGACCGTGAACACGATTGTGGCTCCTACCACTGGGATGGCACCTCTTGCCGCCGCACCTGAATCTGGCATCGTCGCTATGTCAGCCTTATCGAGAGGTCCACCAGGTCCATCCGCCGAATAGTAAGGCGGAATGATGGCTGAAGGAAGCGATCCAGCTTGAAAGTTTGTGGTGTGTGGTCCAGGGATCTGCGTTGAGCTCGGTACGGTCGACGGTGCACTAGGACGAGAATCGTCAGGATCAAACATGATCGCAGTTTAGGCCGATTGATCACTTACGCGGTCGTCGCTTGGTCCGAAGTCTCCTGGTCTCCCGACCCCGTGGTCACCTCGTTGCCATCTGGATCACTATTCGCGAGGTCGAAACTGAAGTATTTGGACCCCGTCTCAGGATCCAAGGCGTTAAGGTAAGGTATAGCCTTTGAAGCAGGCATCAATGTATTGGGTTCCGGCTGAGGTTGACGCTCAAGTCCAGCTTGGTGTGTTGACTCGCTATCTAGACGTCGAGGTTCGGAAAAGACCCGCCTGTGAATTTTGGGGATGATCACATTGTTTCTCCCCGTCCCCAAGGCGGCGTCCGGTAAGCCAGGTTGAGGGTAGGCAGCGACAAGGGTGAGGAGTCCAATAAGCGACAGGGAGAGCAGCATGATGAAATCTGAAAGTCAAGTTGATGGCGTGAGTGGGTTTGGAGGAGGGAAGGTCGACCGAGCGACGTCGAAGACTTGCTTCGTGGATTTCTGGCCTGTACAACAGGGCTCTGGGGCGATGTGAAGAACTCTGAAACTAGTGAACATCCATTCGTCTTATAACATTAGCCAGACCAACATCAACATGGCCAAGTATGACGCTTATTCACTTGGCATGAAATGAGCTTTGTTCAATGACTCTTGCATGCTGGGTGTCAGGTGATAGATCACATCCACTCGATTTACCCATGTTGACTCTTGGAATCGATAGCGCCAAGGTAAGAGGTCCGACCTTGTCTGTTGCTGTGCCGCTTCTGCTGTGGCCCCCAGCTTCAGTACCTCTGCATTTAGTATCGGTCTACACCGGTCGACCAGTGCTTGCATTAGGCATAGCCCTGACACGAAGAAAGAAGCCTTAGAGACAAATAAAAGAATGGTTCAAACTGAGGCTAGCAATTCTTATCCGCTGTTTGGTTCCAAAGTAAGTAAGAAAAAAGTATCCAGTCCACTCGTCATGTTGGCGATGACATACAGCTGTGCATCGTTGATGCATGCATAGCCCTGGTCTGGACTGGATCCGAGTGTACAACACTACACCAATCCCTTATTATCCCCATCGACCAGACCCAACCAGCCGAATGGATCCGCTTCTTGCTCTGCATACCCAGCCTGTTCCAAGAATCGATTAAGATCATCTCCACCAGGTGTGCCTATCATGCCATTCGAGACCAATCCCAAATTCTCGCTCATCCCAAAGGGGATCTGCTCCAGACCTGTCGACGGTAAGATCGGTCGGGGTTGATAGTCCAGGTCGACCCAACGTCTGACATCCGGTGTGAGTCCGCTTGAACCGCTGTGTGTGACGCCGGTTGTGGCATTGGATGGGTGGAGGCTTGGGACAGCTTGAACACCCGGATGTTGAGGCAGCACGGGCATATTTGAAGATGGTCCCGATGGTCCCATCCCTGGACCTCGATTGGGGCTGTAGAATGGCTGACTTGCCAGACCCGCCGAGCCGAGGGACTCGTGGGGTGAGGTCGAATTCACCTGTCCAGAATGGCTCAGAGACTTGCGTAACGAGTCTTCGAAATCGGGCGGTAGAGCATAGTCTTCCGGCCCAAACACGTTGCCCGTCTCGAGACCATCTGGGTCGGGAGAGGCTGTGCGTGAGGGATTCGCAGTGAGAGAGCCGAGGTCAAGAAGAGCTTCGGCAGCTTGTGATGTGCCGAGAGAGTGGCGTGATTGTCGAGCTTGTTCCACTCGATGCCATTTAAAGAAGCGAAAGTCGAATTCAGAGTCAGTCTGACCGGTCGTTGGGTGCCTGATGTCAGTGACGTATGTTGGGCCGAACTCACAATTTACATGCCTGCCAGTCGGCATGGATGAGTATGTCTCCGAATCCGCATCGAGCGAGTCTCCGGCAAGCCTCGACACGCTGACAGTCAGCAAAAAAGGGCACAGTCTTGCTCACCAGATACCTCATCATGAGATCGATAGGTGACAATCTCCGCATCAACTCCAGCAATGGCAAGAGTGCTCGCGCGAATCGAGGATGTTTCGGCTGAATGGTGGGGTCGAAACGCAGCAATCTCAGAGGGTCAAATAGAAGTACTGTGAGAGGTCAGCTTCATCTACATAGAATGAACCCCCACCTTCGAGCGATGTATACGCCTGTACGGCGACAAATGGATCACAATTCACTCCCAGCCTCACGGCGTCCGACACGATTCCCGCGACACCAAAAGCGTGCTTCATCCTCTCTTGCATGAGCGACTGTGTCGACTCGGGAGGATCAGGCGAGCGCGATGCGACGTTGAGTTTGGCCCAGAGCAACATGAGGAAGCAGTTGTGTCGCATCATGTGGAGCAGGATGAACATGGTCCGGCGCTCGGCGTGGACGAACAGGGCGTCCTCGGAATAGGCCAGATCAGGTGGTAAATCGTTGATGACCGCGCGGAGATCGCGTTCAAGCATGCCCAGTGAGCTATACATCTGTTGCGGCGTTGCCAGAGAGTATTTGAGCAACGAGTTGAAGTGGAGGATACGTCGACGCATGGCAGCCGTGCGGATAATGTTGGCGCCAATGCCAAAGTTGGAGGTGGCGCTTCCCGGAACAGCGTTCTGAGGCATGGCAGGCGCACCGATGCTCATGGTCGATGAAGCGGGTGTAATATTTCCATTCGCACTTCCACCGCGTTCGACTGGCGACTCCCATGGCATATGAACCGAATGGCTCCTGGCTGAAGGGTGCTTTTCGAGTGGCATGGTCACGACATCGACGCCGCGTAAGAAGCTCGCCTCGTCGGCGGGGAGTTGAAGGTGGAAACCGGTCTCTGTGACTGTGTGTATGCCGTGTCGACCTGCATCCGCCATGGTGTCGAGGTAAAAGACTGACCAAGCCAGTCGCCGGAGGGCTTCGGGTTTGAGCAATGGGTTGAGCTTGATGGCGTGAGGCTGTGGATAGGTCTCATCGAACGTGTGAAGAGAGAGGAATTGCATGATTCTGTTTGGGGAGGAGTCAGATGGGTTCATCGTAGATGCTCACCTGACGGCATTTCCCCACATCATCCAACTAGCGTAAAAGTTGCCTCGTGCATGATCGTATTCCCTCGCAAGGAGCACGCACTGCGGGATCAGCAGAGGTCTTTGATACGACTCACCATCAATTCAATCGCCCCAAACCCTTCGTACAGCTGATCGCGGAGCACCGGAAAGACCTCTTCGTAAATGAGATCCGCGCGACGAAGCGTCGCCGTGGTGTTGTCTCCGGCAAATCTGGTCGTGAGCACACACGAGTTCGCGGGAGAAATCTCACCGTAGGGCCAAGGCCACCATCAATTTTGTCAGATTCATGGGCGCCTTGCCACGTTCCAGGAGGCGGAAGAAGCTCGGCTCGTGGATGAAGGCGAGGAAGCCGAATTCTGCAAGTCAGCGAAACGTGACACCCTTGCGCCTCACGGTGCACAGTCCCGAAATACCCTCGGACCAACATATGCAACTCCGCCTTGTTTGCCATGAGCGACTCAAAGGGTGACCGATGCAACGATGGGAGCTTCCGAGGACGAGGATTCGGTGATATGATCTCGTTCCTACCTCCGGTCTTTGGCGAAACAGCTTCATCTCTCGGGCGGCTCCTTGGCGAGAGTGAGACATCTCCCATATCATACGTCGACCCATTATCCACCGACTCGTCCGAGTCCGAGTCGTCGCGATCATGCTTGACCGTCCTTGGTCGTCGAGTCTTGGACGGCTGCCATTCGCACTGAAGTCCGAGTCGTTTGCACCGTGAACAGATCCGATCATCCCCTTCGGCGGCGGAGCATCGTCTCTGGCGGATCAGCACCTGGGATCGGTCATCAGGAACCCACCTTCAACGTTCTGCAACTCGTACACGCTGCTCTACTCCTCCTCCGCGCTAGCGTCGAATTGATGTCGACTTTTGCGGCCGCTCCGGGATCATAGACACAGTCGAATCCCCGTTTGACACATTGTCCGCAGGCCGGGTGAACCTCGTCGCATTTGATCTGCAAGAGTGTCAAAAACACGTCCTATGGGCTTTACGATTCATCTGCGACCCCCCTTGTTCATCTGCCACTATTGCCAGCCCCTGCTCACACACCCCATGACATGGATGCGGGGCGGCGATTCGATGGACCCCACGGCGGATACTCGATACGGGGGCGAGGGCCTCTCTCAAAGGGCCGTCTCACTCACCCGTCTTGCTCGACACAATCCACATCCGTTCTTAGACCTCTTCTCCTTGTCTGGTCTCTGTGTATCAGACATCGAGGCGCTCGTCTCGTTGCTATGGGTCACGGATAGAGACGCTACTGGAGACGGGGGCGGGTAGACGATACGATTTCTTAATGAGGCATGGCGAGAAAATGGGCGGAAGCAATTTGTTTAGGGGTAAGTGGCGGAATGTGGTGGCCGAGCGCATGTTCAGTGGCAGACCAAGGTCCGTACACGCCAGCCGTGACACTGGTGGACACAAGTATGTAGAGATTATCTGTTGTAAGCGAGTTTGGTGCATGTCTCTCTATCTACTCCTGACATATTGCTTGATGGCCAATCTCATTTTCCCGACCTTTCATAGACTCTTTGTGCCATCACCCCGGGCTGACTGATTGGCACATGGATGCAGCTAATCAAGGGAGAGATTCGGCTTCGATGTTCTTTCCCTCGCTCAACACAAGACTATATATAACCAGGACAATCGAGTGGCTATACGTTCATGTCCAACACATACATTCCCCTCTCTCGCTCTCTCTCTGACGACACAAATTCCACGAGAAATACAACTATGTCAAAGCAAAGTTCGTCCACTACTCGAAGCGGCATTGCCGGCTCGAACGTCTCAAAGCCATCAGAGATATTCTTCCCCTTGGCCAAGTACGTCTTTGAGCACCCCGAGCTTCAGAACATGGCGAGTATCCAGCGAGGGGTCGACTGCTTGATGAAGCTCTTGGACAAAGACCCTTCTACGAGGGACTTCTTCGCCAGAACAGATCTCACGGGACAACCTGTGCCAGCTCTGCTCGATTCCGTTCGGGAGGCAGGAAAGCGTTTCCGAACGACTACACGCTACACTCATGGCGATACCCTGCTCGGCATGGATTACATCCTGATGGAGACCGATGATGATGGATCGTTGCAAAGTGGCGGCATGGGCTGCAGATTCAGCGCTTCGACGCGAGACGGTCAAACGGTGTACTCTGACCCTGTCGGAGTGGAATGTGATGAAGGCTATTGGCAGAAGTCTCGAGAGATGGCTTCTTATTACAAAAAGGTGGACGACCAGCTCAATCCTGGCCAAAGCACGCCCGCGACGGGACATTTCAAGGTACTTTCGCGGTTAAGAAACTAGTGCGGCGTTGTGAAAGGGCCTCACGAGTTTGGCGGGAGCCCGACAAACACCTAAGTTTCTTTTTCCTTCTCCCATGCAGCATTTTGCCGTATCTGCCTCAGAACAGTTCTATTATGCATTCCCCCCTCATAACGAAACGGCGATGCACGGATGAATGTGACTCCATTGTTACAGTTACAGGAAAGAAATGCATCGATCTCGCTAGACCTGCAGTACCTCTATATACGATCCTGGCTCGGTCGAAAGGTCCATGCTTATGGACATTGGTGCTTATTGTTTCCAGACCTTGCCAAGACCATCCTCGGCCGGGACAGAGTTTCTTATCCGTCCCTCGTAACACTCCCTCTCGAGATAGATGCTTTTACCGCTAGATACTGCTTCCCTTCGTTGTGGCAGATGCTATGCCGTCCCAACTGTGTATAGTACTCGAACCTTCGATCCACTCGATCTCTAAGTCTTCTAGATCCATCCGGGAACTGTTCCCATTGCCATTCGAGCCTTCCGGAGGTGTCATCTGGCCTCATTGTCGATGCAGGTCGTATAGAGTAGTCCAATATCAATGGAAGTCGACGATGTATAGATCCGCCACAATCGTTCATATTCGGTGATATATATAACGCCGATCGATCGTTCTTGGCGCTTGACGACGGTCTTGCTACCGTCATCCTCGACCTTTCTTCATCTTTCTTTCGATCGTGAGCTCGCTTTTGATCCCTCTCACGCTCCTCAGCATAGAACCGACGCTCCAGGTCTCTTCTACGCTCTTCTGTGACCGTTTTGGTACCTCCAGCGTCTTCAGAGACCGATTTTGGTGGGTGGCGACGTCGTGCACGGTCGTTCTTCCGTCTCATCACCATACCAGCCATATACACCTCTCTAGACCCTTCTCCATTGACTTTTCTGGCCTCAGGAGGTCTCCTGAGTCCTATCCCCTTCACATTTGCAAGATGGCGAGGTGTAGGTAGTGGTTTGGTGAGCATGTCTGCCAGTTGGTGGTCTGTACTGACGTATCCAAGGTAAATGGTCCCGATGTCCACCAGTTCTCGAAGCATATGGTGCTTTACATCGATATGCTTTGTCCTCTGGTGAGTCGAAGGCTTGTTCGCAAGTGATATTGACCCCATATTGTCACACCATAGAGACGTCGCTCCCTTCGATGGTCGATTCAACTCTGCCATGGTCGATCGGAGCCATTTCGCTTCTCTAGCAGCTTCCGATGCTGCAATATACTCCGCTTTGACCGTCGATGTGGACACCGTGGCTTGTCGCTTACTAGACCATATCACTGGTGAGTTATTGATCTTGAATACGTATCCGGTGGTCGATCGTCGAGTGTCCTGACAACCTGCATAGTCCGAATCGACCCAGCCCTCAAGATCCTCGGTTTCTCCTCCCAGCTCTATACCGACAGTTCTAGTCGTGGCTAGGTAAGCGATTACCTTCATCGCCAGTTCCCAATGCTTCTCGGTTGGTGCTGATAGATACCTCGCTAGGTATGACGAAGCGAACGATGTGTCTGGTCTTGTACTTGACGACAGCCATTGAAGACATCCAATGACTTCCTGGTATGGTGTGAGTGGATCCATCACTGTTTCCTTATCACTCTTGTCCTTCTCCACTGGCAACGGTGTCTGTCGTGATCGCTTGCCACCGGGAAATCTATCGATGATATCGTCGATGTATCCTGGTTGGCTCAACCATATTTTCCTTTGCCTTCGGTCGCGAGTGACTTTCATCCCTAGGATCGTGCTGACTTCCCCTAGCTTGGTGATAGTCCATTCTTTTCCGATCTCGTCCATCGCTTTGTCTGCAACTCCGTTTCCCTTTGCTGCGACCACGAAATCGTCCACATACACCAACACGATCACTGGTGATGCTCCCTCTCGAATGTACACACCCCAATCCGGATTGAGCCTTATATATCCGAGTATTTCAAGCCTTTTCTTCACCTCTTGCCACCAATTATGAGCTGACTGTTTCAGTCCATACAGTGGTCGAAGCATTCGAAGCTCGGCACCAGGTACCTCGAACTCCACGCCCTTCGGCTTTCTCATATATATCTCTTCGGTGATGTGTCCATTGAGGTAAGCTGTCTCCACATCCCCTTGGACTAAGTCCATGTCCTCGCTTGCGGCCAAAGCCAATATGATCCTGAGTGATGCTAACCTTCCCACCGGTGCAAAAGTGTTCTCGAAGTCGACACCTGGTACCTGTGTAAAGCCCTGGGCTACCAGCCTTGCTTTATACTTGGTTGGTTTTCCATTGGCGTCCCTTTTCAGCTTGAACACCCATTTACAGCCTATGGCCTTTCGTCCTTGGGGTATGACTTCCTCTCTCCAGGTCCCCTTCTTCCTTAGTGAGTCCAATTCAGCATCCATTGCGGCTTTCCACTGACTCCAATCAGGTCTTCTTTGGGCTTCTATCACTGATAGGGGATCTCGTTCGACACCATCACTCATGGTCGCCATTGCCATCTCGGATGATATCATGGCAGTCCTTTGACTTCGAAGTGACCTTGGCTCATTGACATCCACAACTATATCCTCGAATACCCTCTTCTCTGGTATATGCTCGTATGTCCAAGATGGTTTGACTTTGTACTTATTGTCCACAGATCCCTCTTTGTCCTCAAGTTCAGGGGTCTCGATCGGGATATCGATTGGACTTTCTATCACACCTTGGCTCGCCGGCTCACATGGTTCGATAGGCCTTCTGATATCTTGTTTGGCCTTTGGGACCTGGACTATCGTCATACCGTCCCGACTGCTCTTAACATCCCGTGAGCGTACCAGTTCTGCTGAGTGATCCAGTCTGACGATCCATCCACTAGACCAGTGTTCCTGACCTAGCAGGACGCCCGATGCTCCCTTGTCGACATCGAAAGTCGATCTAGGTCTTGCACCTCTGGCTCCCTTCGGTATTTGGACGAAGCACCTTTCACCAAAACATCTGATGGTGTCGATCCCTTCTCTTCGACCTGTCAACCTAGTCCATGCTGGTATGCCATCCCTTCCGTTGGTCTTCATCAAGACAACTCCGGCATACCTCGAGGCATACGACCAGTGATCGTGAGGAAGGTTCGAGTCCATCAGCATGCAGGACACCATGTCCTTTATGGTGCGTATGGTTCTTTCGGCCGCTCCATTGAGTTCCTGAGTGTACCTTGGACTGACATATCTCTGTATTCCAGAAGCTTCGTAGTATTCTTTGGCTCGATCACTCTCGAACTCTGGAGCTCCATCGGATCGAATAACCCTCACTCGAACACCAAGTTGTTTTTCGACTTTGGCTACTATACCAATGATAGCGTCCATGACATCCTTTCGACTGGGTATTGGTATAGGGAACACCAGCTTCGACCATCGTTCGATACAGACGAGCAAGTATTCCATACCGTCCACGGATCGGTCGAGGGGTCCGGCCACATCCACATCGATAGCGACACCCTCGATATCACCGATCAGTAATGGACTCGATCCCGGCTTAGGATTTCGAATGATCTTCTTTGTCATGCAGACTTTACAGTCTGTCATCTTAAAGCCGTCTTTCTCTAGGGCCTTTATGTCATATCGAAGCTTCCCTTCTTTCCCCAATGTGAGCAATTTGCCGATCCCTATATGTCCAAGTCGCTTATGCTCTTCCTCTAGGGGTGATACTTCGACCGTGGCCATAGCGTATGGTGATGTAATGACGATCGATGGTGACATCCTTCCCAAGGTTGTGGTCCATAGAGATCCAGTCTTGGTGAGTGGTATACTGTTCCCTTGTCGATCGATCGTTCCTCCAACCTTAGTCAGGTTGGTTGTCCATCCGTGCTTTATGAGTCTTGACATTGACAGTAGGCTGACCCTTGCTCCAGGTATATGATATACCTCTCGCAACACCAGCTTTCGTCCTTTGTCCATCCTTACTTCAATGTCACCGACCTCACAAGCTCGCATTGATCCTCCTCTATTGGCTAGGCCAAACTCGATCGGAGCAATTAACTTCCTGATATCTTTGAGAAGGGCTCGGTGTGGTGTAAGATGGTGAGTTGCTCCACTATCCAATATCCATTGGGTGTCCACCCTTTCCCCTTCTATCACTATGTCATCCGTCAATAGACATGCTGAGTGGTCCGCCCAGGGATTATGCTCCAGATCGTCACTGGTCCATGGTATCACTTCGTCGGGCCAGTCCATCGGCTCGTCATTGGACAAGTCGGCCCAATGTAATACTGGATCATCTGCAATGGTGATCATGGCCCAAGCATCCTCAATGTCATTAAGCGATGTGGTGAGTAACCCTGTGGCGATCTCTCCTACACCCTTGTCTTTGGACTCATTCTTCCTATCATATCCTTGCTTGGGTGGCTTCGGACAGTCTCTCTTTAAGTGTCCTGACTCTCCACAGTTATAACATCGAGCCTTCGAAACGTCAAAGCCGCTTCGCTTCCCCTTTGGTCCCTGTATTCCCTTCGAGTTCGCTTCTCGACCTTTTCCATACTTCGGTCGATCATTCTTCGTCTTGGGGTTGTCACCGGGTACACCTTGCGTCATCAAAGCATAACCTCCTCGTCGATCTCGATGGACCGGTCTAGCCCTTCGTCTTGCACTCTCTGCATTGTACTTGGACAATACCCAGGCCCATGATCGATCCTCCGGAAGTCGTTGGTTGATCTCGGAGATAACTGGACGGAATGACTCCGCTAGGAAGGTCTCAGTAAAGGTCGCGGCCCTCTCTAAGTCTGTGAGTTCCATTCCGACCAGCTTTGCTTCCATGACAACCCTTGAGAAGGCTTCCACATGCTTTGCCATCTCTTCGGAGGTAGCATCGTTCCTGAGGTCGAACGAATAGAGCTTCTTCTTGATCATCCTTTGGTTCTCCACAATACTGAGCTGATGTATCCCCAGACAGTATATCCACATGTCATGTGCCGAATACAGATCCTCAATGTCCAATTGGATAGCCATGGATACAGATCCCTTCAATATGGCCTGTGCTTTGTTCTCTCTAGCACGCCACTGGATCCATTCCCTTCTCTGATCTGAAGTAAGAGGCTGATCTGCTTGTCCTTGTGTACGCTGATGGGGCTCCAGGGACAATGCTCGATTGGGTTGCTGTACTCTGGTTCGCCTCGGGAGGCCTGGTAACAGCCCGTCTTGCCCTGTGGATCTTGTCCTCGTCATCCCTATGGTCGACGGTGTCGGGTATCCCCTTTGGGGTACTACCCCTGATGGAGGTCTGGACCCGGGTGGGTCACTCTCACCCGTTCCTAGGTCGGCCGAGCGGTCGGCCGAGCTCTCCGCTATGACATTTCCTTCCCTTCCACCATGCACCGTCGCTGACGATGGTGCAGAACTTGGAGATGTCTCCCAACCTTCTACACCCCTCACAGGCTCCACGTCCTTTCCTTCCACAGTATTCCAACAGTCACTCAGCTGGAATTGGATAGTTACTGCCGATCTCCATGCGGCAAAGGTCTGTGGCTCATGTGTGAGCTTCGGGATGTCCTCAAGGTTGATTCTCGACATTGTGAGTTCTCTTTTCTGCTTGGTGGTAAAGTTCGACTGTTAATCTGTTACAGTTACAGGAAAGAAATGCATCGATCTCGCTAGACCTGCAGTACCTCTATATACGATCCTGGCTCGGTCGAAAGGTCCATGCTTATGGACATTGGTGCTTATTGTTTCCAGACCTTGCCAAGACCATCCTCGGCCGGGACAGAGCTTCTTATCCGTCCCTCGTAACATCCATGTTCATCCATTAATCGGCGTGTGTCTTGAGTGCTGCCAATGTCTCCTGGTCACCAAAACATTCTGCGCAGACTACTGAGCCTTCTCCTTTCTGTACTAGACTCGGGACGGAAAATGATGTACAGAGATTTAGAGGAAGGCCTAGGCTGCTCTTCGGGCCCATTAGATGGCGCGACGCCATCTGATCGTGTAAAGTATAAGCAGTGTGCCACATTCATCTCCGCCACATCGGTTGCCCACACATCCCCATCCATCCGAAGTTATATTCGGGCCTGACCTGGTCATTTCTCGGCTCTACACCTATCATGAACAGAAGTGTCCGGGCGACATGGACGTTTCGTGATATAGCATCGGGGTATGTGACTGATCATATTCAAGGCTGCGTTCGAGCTCAGCGCCGATCATTATGCAGCTCGGCTTCACGATTCGGCCCGGCGCCGGCCAGCCTGCTCGCGTTGAAATCGCTTGATACGGAGGAAGATTCGACCCTGGCGAGAGAATGGGTCAAGGGTTTCACTGTGGAAGATATCCCAAAGTCTAGCTACACGGCTACTTATTCGAGGTCCAGTGGACCGGGCGGACAGGTAAATAGACGATCAGAGTGTTCGCTGATAGGCACTCTGTAGCATGTGAATACGACCGACTCTAAGGCGACGGTGAGGATGCCGATACATCGAGCTTTGGGAGTATGGCTACCGAGGTATATGACGAAAGGGTTAATAGAGTCGGTGAGTGAGAGATACGTGGCTGAGGGGAGGATAGTGTTCTCGCCAGGCTCGTGCCCGCCCAGGACATGAGCCCACCTCCCACCCCAGAGCCCCCGAGCAGGCTCGTGCCCGCCCAGGACATGAGCCCACCTCCCACCCCAGAGCCCCCGAGCAGGCTCGTGCCAGCCCAGGACATGAGCCCACCTCCCACCCCAGAGCCCCCGAGCAGGCTCGTGCCCTCCCAGGATGGTTTGCCCGCCTCCCACCCCATCACCCCATCACCTTACCTCGCCCTCTGGGCTCGGCGAGAGACTACGCCCACCCCCCACCCCATCACCTTGCCTCGCCCTCTGGGCTCGGCATAAAACTACGCCCACCCCATCACCCCATCACCTTACCTCGCCCTCTGGGCTCGGCGAGAGACTACGCCCACCCCCCACCCCATCACCTTGCCTCGCCCTTTGGGCTCGGCATACCACTCGCTCACTCTCCCCCCTTAGTCCCACTTCACCCACTCCTCCCAATCCCTCCTCTTCTCCGCCTCCCTCCACCGCTCTGCCCCTGCCAACCTCACGCTCGTACTCTCCATCCTCCATGCCCACCTCGTCTCCGTCGCCTCCTCCCCTATCCGTGGCGAGACCTCTAGTGCGCAACGTCAACGTGTGGATCGACTCAAGGCCCGTGATCGATTGAAACGATATGAAGCCAAGGAGAGACAGAAGCGTGACAAGAGCTGGCGTCGAGGCGAGTAGTGCCACACTGCCACATGAGCTTCGGCGTTATGGATCATCACCACAAGTAGTAATTATGCCACGTGTCGGAGATATATTTCACACTACGTCATTTGAAAATAAATAAAAACACACAGAGCGAAAGAAAAAAAACTTTTACGGGGGAATAAAACTTTCCCCCTCGCATCATCATCATCATCATCATCATCATCGTCATCGACACAAACCTCGTTCAGACCACCCTGGCTGGCACGTTCAAAGAACTGGGAAGGGTGGGGAACCAAATAATCCAAACAGCAGCAGCAGCAGCAGCAGCAGCAGCATCAGAAGGGTGGTGTGTCTGTATGTGGAGAGAGAGACTGATCAATCACTGAGAGAGGAGGGGCACACAGCGACAGAGTCAGGCGTAGTACAAGGACACACAGAGAGAAAGAGCTCCATCCCCTCCTTTGGAGACGATCAAAATAGTCGGCTGCTTTTCGACGTGAGTTGGGTCGCGTCCAATGTCTGGCCCCCATCCCTCGAAACTATATCATAGCTGACCACTGTGTACCCTCATCCACACCCTTTCACCATCCGGCTCGCTGCGTTCGCCACCTCGCACCTCACCGCGTCACCTCTCCTCACTGCTTATAAATCGGGGGAATCCAAAAAAAATATCATCCTCGACCAGTCCGACCTCGACACTCGTTGCCAACCCATCCTGACCATCCTATCCAAATCCTCATCGAACGAAGCCCCTCCGCCAGCGACACATCCCCAATTCCTGTGCATATACCACTGCGCACGTACCATCCCCTACCCTTTTCGGTCACCTCCGACCCATTTTAGGACCCTAGCTTCGATCACTTAATATGACAGCGGTGGCAGCGGCTCCAGCGGGTCTCCCGAGAGGACCGACACCGAATCGTGAGTTTCTGGACACATGGATCAAGCTGATAAACGTCTCTTAGCTCCTCGACCGTCCTCCTCGTCGTCACGCAATTCGAATCGCGAAACGAGAGAAAAATCATCCATACCAAAACCAGAGCCGCCCCCACACGAGGAGGAAGGTGAGTAGTACCTTTCCATCCAACTCCCAGGCTGACCCTCTCTCTCTCTCTCTCAGCGGACCATCCGCAAAGACCTCCCATTCGCCCTCAAGTATCCAAATTCGACCTCGAAGTCAACCCGTTCGAACAATCCTTCGCGGGTCGATCCTCTCACAGTTCCGCCACTTCAAGTCACACCACACCGCCACGAGGTACCGATGCCACCAGTATCAAACACAATGCTCTTCCTCCCCTTTCAGCCTTGACCAGTCCAGCTGCTGCGAATGCCACGCAGTTTCCATGGCTGGCGAATCAGTCCCTGCGGACTGGACCTCTGAGTCCAGCCATGTTGACGGGACCTCAGAACGCCAACGGGTCGACTCAAGCCAATGGCACAGGTAGCAAGCCAGAGGGTGGACAAACAGAGGGCGGCGCGTTTGATGGGTCAACATTTAGGACAGGTTTCACACCGGGCACGGGAAGTGGATTCACACCTGGATACTCGTCACTTGTCGGCAACAACTTTGCCAGTTCCCTCCCCATGCCCAGTCCGAACACTGCCGCTTTCCTCAATATGGTGACAAATGAGACGCCGACGGGAGAAGGTGGCGAGGGCGGCGGGGCGAATGGGGAGCGTTCCAACGCTTCTCAACCCAATGGACAGCCCTCTGGTGGTCCGCCAAATGCCATCCCACCGCATATGCAACAACAACACGGCCTGTCTCATCTTCAATCGGAGATGCCACAGGAAACAATCACTCCGAACACCCTTTCCGCCCTGACTGGCGTCTTCAACGACATGTCCCGGCAGCAGCAGCAACAACAACAACAGCAGCAGCAAGGTGGTCCACCTCAGTCCAACGGACACATGTTTTACCCACCGATGCAGCATCCCGTGCCTCATGTGGATTACGCTCAACAATCCGCCAATGCCGCTAGTCAAGCTGCCAATGGACTCTTCCTTCTTTCTCAAGCACATCAAGAGTTGTCAAAGAGGGAAGAAGAGGGTCGGTCTTCATCACCCGACGCACCTCAACCTCGGACCGCCAAAGCCAATGGACAAGCAGGGACGAAGCGGAAATCAGAGCCTGCGGCGGCGCCTGTGAAACCTCCGAAAAAGGGACGAAAGGCTAGTCAAGCGCCTCCAAAGATTGAAAGTACGAGTCCAATGAGCATGGGTGATCTAGACGAGGATCAAGAGGCGAGAGAGGCGAGGTTGGGAAGACCAGAGACGGAGGAGGAGAAGAGGAAGAACTTTTTGGAGAGAAACAGGCAAGGTGAGTCAACACGGAGGCATCGAGCGCAGCGGGCGACGTCCTGTCAAGCACCGAGCTCGTCTTACCCTGTTCGTCGCCCACAGCCGCTGACCCTCTTCTCTCAGCCGCGCTCAAATGCCGACAACGCAAAAAGGCCTGGCTGCAGGAACTCCAAACCAAGGTCGAGCAACTGACCATGGAGAACGAACGACTTCAACAGACCATCGGAGGCCTACACGATGAAGTCGGACGCTTGAGTTCGGTCTTGATGCAGCACAGGGACTGTGGGCTGGGCATACCGACGGGATACGGACGGCCAATCAGGTAGCGAGCAGTGCGACAGCGGTGACACTAGACTCAACGCCTGACCCCACTCATCCCGCCTTCAAAAAATGTCACATACACGACAGTTGATCTCTCTGCACACAAGCACACGCGCATATGTATTCACCAATGGCAGACTGTCGACCCGTTTCTCCCCTCGGATGTTTAGGTATTATTAACAACTCTCTCTGTCTCTCTCTCTCTCCCGTCTCACTTCTTGTCATTGGGCGTGGATAGTATTGCACTAGTCCACACACGCACGAACGCACACAACCCTCATGTAGCGATTGGTAGTGAGATTCCGAATATGCAGCATAGTATCGGGTCACAGCGTGAGGGTGCGCCGGGGGGAGGGGCAGGTCGTCATTTTGTCGTGATGCATGATGCGGGGCATGAGTGTTATATGATTCGTACTGCGAATGCTAGGCAAACGAGGATGATTGTGTCCTGGGGCGGATTGTCAGCGTGGCAAGCTCACGAGCGAGCGGAGTACGAGAGCGTGGGCCGGATGTGAGCGAATTCGAGGATCAAGCCAAGCCGAAGATGAGCGAGATTTTCGATGGGATCCAGTGGGGGGTTTTAGATGGAGCTCGTCTTTCTGCTGGGTCCCCCCCAGTGGGAAGAGTTTGCTTCGATCGACTCACATTACTGTACATTTCCTGGACCACGACGTCTGTATCTTCCCAATGACAAGACATGTCCGCTCTGGAACAAGAGGCGTCAGTTGGAGAGGTTGACGGGCACCTCGAGGAATGCTGATCGATGGTCATGTCGCTCGCTCGCTCGCTCGCTAGCGCTCACTCACCTCCCTGCTTGCCCCAAATTCTCAGACAACGTCACTGTCACGATGTATTTGAATCCTTTGGGCTCCAGTTCGATCATTCGCGATTTGACTTTCTGGAAAAGAGGAGGGAGGGGGAGCGTGTGAGCAAAGTGATGAGGGGCCTTTGAAGTAGATAATGAAGGCAGAACCTGGGCTTGCAGGTGGACAAGGATAGTACGCTCACCTCGGATATCTCTTTGGAATACGAAGCCATCCTTGGTTTATCATTTGGGTCCCATGATGCGCCTGGCAGAAGAAGTCAGGAAGAGCGTGGGGTGGTTAGTGCTGGATGAGATCCAGAACCGATGTACCTGTCAATGTTTTGCTGAGGATCTGAGAAGGGACGACATTTCAATATCGGGACTTGACATCCGAAAGGGTCAGTACTCACCGTGCGCATACTTGGGCGTAGTAGATCCGAGGGGAACCTACAAATAGGGGTCAGAGGCGGGGGCATCAACGATGGTCGATGAATACGCCTGAGGTAGATCGAGGAATGCGAAGAGAGTCGAGCTCTCAGGCTCAAGTTCCAGCTCGTAGTTCGGACCGCGCCAAAGCTGTCACTTGCTCCCTGGCTCACATCCCGTGCATTGCCCACTCACTTTTGCCTTAATGGCGATGACGCCCCAGAACCCGATCTCGTATCGACATGTGGGGACAAGGCCCCGTTCCGCCGAACGCTCATGCCGCGGGGCGGCGGCGCGAAGTGTGGAACGGGCGAGGCGATTCAAGTAAGGGGTGAGGTCGAGTTGGCGGAATGAGCGACGTCCTTGGAGAGGCTCAGAGTAGCTTGTACTGCGGAAGAACACTGCGCTCGTGGATGATGATAGAGACGAAAGTAGAAGAGATAGTAGAGCAACGACAAATGGCATTTCACCCATCCGGCTATTCGAATTTCCTCGTCGTCCTCGACGTCGTCGCGTCCGTTCAATAGTGCATCCTTCTTTCTTGATCACCTTCTTGTACGTTGACCACTAGGGGTTCCAGCATCGGATGACGGCAGCCTGATCCGATCCCAATGACCTCTTGGCTCCGATACACCGAGAATCATACGAGTCAAAGCAAACGCAAATCAACCTTATCTGATCGAAATCTTCAGCACCAGTCCCCTCACAGTCTCTCTCCTCCGAGTCTTCCGCACTCTCCACACGTCCAAACGCCGTACCTGGACCCGTGGCTGGCAAGCGTACCTGACCATCTGACAGAAGTCGTCTTTGCTCAGTCTACTCCCCTCCCTTGTTCCTGGACACCTGGACGTCCTCAGTATCCGCCTGAGATCCTATCGCCAACGCCTCGACGATATATCATGGACCAACTCAACCCTCTAGGGAACAGCTGGAGGTCCGACGAGTATTCGCTCAAGGGGAAAGAGAAGGAAGAAAGGTGGAATATGGTCCCATCGATGAGGCAGACGCATTCGGGGCTTCCTGATGATTCAACGCGTTTGGAGCCCTCGACCGGTCCATGGGACGCTCCGAAGCGGGCATTCACTCATGACAAAGCGCACGGCTCAAGTGGATCTCGAGGGCCTGGAAGTATTCGGATAGGACCTCTGCCGAGCGCGATTCTGGCCTCCATCATGGACACCAGCGCGGGTCGAGACAAAGTCTTGGTGAGTGAATCTCCAGGACGTTGCACAGGAAAAAGGATGCCTCGATTGATCCCATGTCGATCTCTAGAAAACCATTCAGTATACGCTCAAAACGTACCTCTATCTCTTGTCCCTGATCGCTAGAGTCAGACCACTGTCGATATGGTTCAAAGCGAATTCAAAGCGGATGAAGATAGCCACGGGATCGTTATCGTTGACGCGGTGAGTTGGCGAACGGGGGAGTCCCGTTTGTCAGCGGCGTGATGCGGAGCGGACGCTGATGCCTGGTGTCGCTTGTGCAAAAAATCTGAACTCGTGGCCCCTCCTCGTTCTGTCGCTACGCTCTATGGCCCGTTGCCCCCCCCCCCCCCCCCCCCCGGCGGCCCAACAGCAAATGTCTCCTCCTCCTCAACCCCCTTCGACCTCTTACCCACCTTCTATCCCCCGAACCTACCTCAGCAACCACTCTCCTGCGGCACCTCATCGACTTGACAGGCGCCCTAGCAGACGACGTATACTGTCTCTCGCTCTTGGGTATATTGTCTCGCCGTAGAGGACGGTTCGCAGAACGCTGGGCCAAGTGGGTCGATCCACCACAACAACTATATGCCCAGCTGACATTACCCCTCTCTCACTCACTAGCCGCTTCTGGCTCCTCAAGACTATACTCGGCTTGTGGAAACTTCATACACTGACTATACCCCATCTGTCTCGTCGATTGCCTCTAGTCCCGCCGCTGGTTCATCCGGATCAACCGCACGAGGAAGAGACCACGGACAAGGCGTTAGCCACCGCCCAATGGATGAATCACAAACTCGTGGCGGATCTCGCGTTCGTCTGTGAGTGGTAGAGCGACATCATTACGAAGGTCGTGTGTCTGACGAGAGTCTCTCTCTCCAGCATACGAAGTGTTCCACCTGTCTTGGGCTAAAGAACCTGTTCAATGTATCACTGGATTGATTTCGGGTGTGATAAGGTACAGTACGATTCTGAACGCGAGATCAATCGCTCATGGTCCTCGCAGTACAGCTCTCCTCTATGATCAAGAGTATGATGCTAGTCTTGGCAAGGGGTAGCGCTCCCTGATGCATCACATTAAGACATTCGCCTCTCTCCCTTCTTGCTCTTCGCCTTTTTCGATCACTTGCTCGCCTGGGTCTCTGCATCGCTCTCAGGCTTCGTCTCTGCCTCAGCCTCGGATAAGGCAAGGCGAGCAGATCTCAAGACTTTTTCCGTGGCCAATGTGACATTTCGCAGAGCAGGCATCGTGGACGGGTTCAAAGGATCGTTCGGAACCGCGTCGATCGAGTTCATAAGGTCAAACATCTCATGCACCATATCTTCCAACAAGCCAGTGATACGGGACTTGCCAGTGGCGTTGGTTTCGGTATACCCGGAGCTTTGTGAATCTTTCGAGTGCGGTTCAGTCATGTTGTGATTCGTGTGCCGGGTTGTGGGATTTTGCGCCCAAAATCAGTGACTCCCACTGCTTAAATCCCCCAGGAAGTGTTACGCTCATTCAGGATGATTGAAATTGTCCTGTAACAGCAATCAATTAAGGATCCCAAAGGATCCAAAGTGGTCAAGATTTTCGTCAATGATCAGCCGAGACAAAGGCTCGTCTGGGTGCTCCCGAGATGAAGGATTTGATTGATAAGGCTGTCAAAGGAGATGTCGCGATGAAGCTATTGAGGGGTCCAAATCAGGGGAAGATGGAGCGATAAACGCCTGCTCCACGCGCCCTCCGTCTCGTTCTTCGTCTCGGCATGTATGTGCTCACACACGTATCGAGCAAAGGTCGAAGAGCAGATCCCCCAAAGAACAGTTGCGATTGGAAGATCTGCGGTATGGCAGAAGGTGGGCCAGAAGAGGCAAGCCAAAGATCACCAGAATCTCAGGAAACGCTGACCGATCGCCCCACCGTCATCTAACTTGAAAGCACATTGCAGACCAGCCCAGTTGATCGACTCAGCTCCATCGTCCATGCATCGTTGAATCTAGCTCCTACGGCTCAAGCAATACGCCCTATCATCACTTCGACGCCCCTCCTTGCGAGTTGGATCCTCCAGACTGTGCCGCCCCGCTGGTCGTGTTCGCACCAGAAGCGTTCGACGAGTCTATCTTCTTCTGAGTCGCCTCGAGCTCTGTCATTCGATCTTGCAGAAGTCGGACACTCCTGGCTGCAGTGTCACTGTCAAAGTCGTCTGGGATAAGTCTCGAAATTAGGTGCGCTTGGTCGCGTTGGCTGTGCCACTGTTGGTTGTTGCAGTTGCTTGAGTCTCCGGAGGAGCCATTTTGCGCCATGGTGTCTGGAATGTTACGATTCGTGAGATATCGGAGTTGAGTGCTATTGAGCTGTTGAATGTGAGATTATCAAATTGATTTGGGCGATAGAGACTCGATCAATTGACAGCTTTTTATAAGCCAGAGGGACACATTCTCCCTCCTTCGTCCTCTATTCATGGCTCGTAGAGTGCTTCTCGCCGATATGGAACCGAGTAGATGCATCCCTTGTCAGAACCAGAAGGCGGCACCGCGAATTGTCATCTTTGAAGGGATGAAAGGTCGCAAGAGAACGTGTCGCGTGAGATGGAGAGTGTCTGTTCTCAGCTTCTCTGGCGCTTAAGAAGACAAAGAAGCCTGGTCGCAGGATGCGTGCTTCTCATGATCTGACAACGGATGGTATGGCATGGAAGAAGTGGGAAGATGACGAGAAGGAACTGGTCGTTGATGGGCAACGCTCTTTTCCAATGTGGCACGTGGCAGGTGTGGCCTCTCGGCCTGAGTTATGCATTCATGGTCTTATCTTGGAGCGTTTATGAGCAGGTTCCTGGACTTGGAGCTCTCACAGGTCACAAATCTGCTCCCCTATACGAATGACAGGCCCTGTGAAGTCAACGCTTCCATCACTACCTTGCCTTGAAAGGACGCTCGCTTGTTGATCAGGTCTCGAGCATGTGTCGGATGACAAAAGATTCGGCTCATGAAGCACAGGCGTGAAGCCTAAACCCGTACCTCTTTCGACGACACCATCCATAAAGTAAGACAATGGAAAGATCTTAGGAACGATGAAAGCTTCTAACGAACCTGCTATGACACACAGAATCATCTCGTCACCTCCCTCAACTTCTTCACCGCTTTGGTCTCCTGATCCAACTTCCTGACCGCCAATCGACCCAAATCGACCATCAAATCCGCTGCATCCGGATCGAACACTGGCCAAGGCTTTCTCAACCAGGTCAATATGGCATGTCGTTGCTCGCGTTGAGCCGGGAGCATCGCCTCGGCTTTGGTGATGGGGCCGAACCGAGGTAGCGTCGCGATCCATTCCTCTCGAGTCAGAGGGCCGATACGAGGTGCTCTGGGTTTTTTGGCGGCGCCTCCACTCGGCGACTCCTTCCGCATCGCTGCGACCTTCTCTGCCTCCTTCTCCAGCCTGACTTGCTCGTACGTCTTCTTTGGTCCACCACTCGGAGGCGGTGGGGCGCCACCTGCCTTCTTAGCTTGACCTTCCATCAGCATCCGCATATTCTTTGAAGGCAAAAGCATCGACAAATCGTCAAAGTCTCCCTCCTTCATGAGATCCCTGAGCATGCGATCGTTCTTGGCCTGCTGTTTGGTCCTCGGTCCAATGAACATCTGCTTGATGAATGGGAATTGAGCATCCAGCTCCGCATCCATCACTTTGGTTTCTTCCGCCTTGAGTTTTCGCTCTTCGTCCAGCTGCTCCTTGGAGGGCGGACCATGCGGCTTGGGAAACGCGGTGGGAGCGAAACAGTTGGGGAATCGATCAAGACCTTTTTGAGCTTCTTGAACGTCTTTCAACTCTTTCTCCAACTTGGCAATGACATTGTTGTGACCCAACCACGCGTCTTCGCCTTTGAGATACCCGCCATTGTTCTGCTCCCAGCGAAGTTTTGCTATCTGGTAGTTGAGCGCAGTGACGTGAAACTTGCGGAGCTGGGCGTACGAGACGATTGGAGCGGTAGGAATGACAGGTTTGGATTTGACAGGTGTGTTGGGCGACATGGGAGGCGTAGCGAGGCCCGTAGCGAAGAGAGCCGGGTGAGTGGTCTTGATGGTGAGAGGGGTCATCATGACGACCATGGTGCAGTGGAGGTGATGGCTCAAGCGGTATGGACGGTAGACTGATGTTCACTTGCGGCAATCTGAACGTGCAGGATGGAGGAAGGAACATTCGAGAGGGATCACATATACGTCTGGACTCTGGGGGTCAGTAGGTAGGGGACACCTCCTTTCACAGACTATCTGCGACATGTACGAGCTCACATCCTTTCATTGATGCTGGACGCTCTTTTCGCCAGCTCCTGCATGTCGTCTGTGAGTTTGTCAGGGGATCGTCGAGCATCACAGACGTTTGATATGCCATGAGACGCCCTCCCGGGGGTGTTTAGAGCCATTGAGGGATCACGATCCACTGAGCAGGCTGTCTGATGCCCCGCCAGCTCGCTCTCTCGAGATGTACGAGGCTATATGTGTGGCGGCGGTCTCAGTCCCCCATCCGCCACAAATAGCCACGTCATCCCCCCCCCCCTGTCACCGGTTAATGCGAGACTCATTCCTAAGCGAACAACCTCTTTTGAGCATCCCATCCCATCGTTCTCCAGCTCGTGGTGACTCTTTTGCATCTCTACTTTGATCCATTATCACGACGCCACGATGGGATCATTAGACTTCAAAGACCTCGTCGTGTTGGTCACTGGTGCAGGCAGTGGGATTGGCAAAGTGTAGGTTGTACTACAACAGCATCGCACGCGCGGGACTGACCTGTTCCGCCAGGTACGCACACTTCTTCGCGTCGAGAGCTGCCAAGGTCGCTGTGAACGATGTATCTGCCCAAGCGGCTCAACAAGTCGTCGATGAGATCACCAAGAGTGAGCACGGAGGTAAGAAGACCATCCGCTCACCCTGTCAGGCGGTGGTAAGGCCGTTGCAGCCGCCGGATCCGTCGCAGAAGGACAAAAGATCGTCGATCAGGTCGTCAAAGCCTTTGGTACGGTTCATGTACTGATCAACAATGCTGGAATCCTTCGTGAGTGTGAGTATATGGGGCTTAGCTGACCGTCAGGTGACAAATCTTTCAAAAACATGACGGATCAGGATTGGGATCTGGTCGTTCTAGTCCACCTGAAAGGTGCATACAGCTGTACAAAGGCGTGCTGGCAGATCTTCAGGGATCAAAAGGTGGGCATGATGGAGACTCGTGCATGCTGACAATTCAGTTTGGACGAGTGATCAACACGGCATCTGCAGCTGGCCTCTATGGAAATGTCGGACAGGCGAACTATTCCTCCGCCAAGAGTGAGTCGGCCAGTGCATGGACGCGCTGAACGATCAGTGGGTCTCGTCGCATTCACGCGCACCATCGCTCGTGAAGGAGAAAAGTATAATATTAAGTCCAATGCCATCGTCCCGGTAAGTTAAGCTTGCTTATCACCCTGCTTACACGCTAGATCGCCAAATCAGCAATGACGGAAACGATCATGCCTGCAGAGATGCTCGCAGGGCTCAAGCCTGAGCTCATTGCGCCCTTGGTCGGTGTACTCACTGCCAAGAACGTGAGTTCACCCTGGGCGACCCTGCTCATGCATACTTCAGGGCCCCGATGTCACTGGACGAGTGTTTGAACTTGGGGCGGGATTCTACTCCGAAGTGCGATGGGAGCGAGCCAAAGGTGAGAGAGGAACTTTCGCCTTGACCTGACGACCAGGGGCTATCTGGAAGACTGGGGATAAGACCTTTACACCTTCTGCCGTGGCTGCAAAGTGGGCCGAGGTACAAAACTTCGATGAAGCGGTTCACCCACAGTCAGGACTTGACACGGACAGCTTGGTAGGTTTATGTGATTCCAGCTCCAGCTGACCTAGAAGGGCATCGTCACTGCCTCGAGGAAGATGCCGCCAAATAAGCAAGCCTCCCCTCCTATCAAATTTGACGGAAAGACGGTCATCATCACTGGAGCCGGTGCCGGGTTGGGACGATCGTATGCGTTGATGTTTGGACAACTCGGCGCGAACGTCGTTGTCAACGATGTCAACAAGGACAACGCGGAGAGAGTCGTCGACGAGGTCAAGAAGAGTGAGTGTCTTGTAGTCCGCTGTTGACCTTCTAGTGGGCAGCCGAGCGGTCGCTGCAGTCTGCTCGGCAGAAGAGGGCGAGACGATCGTCAAGACTGCCATGGACACGTTTGGCGCTGTTCACATCCTTATCGCCAACGCCGGTATTCTTCGAGACAAGTCATTCGGGAATATGGACGAAAGCATGTGGGATCAGGTCATGGCTGTGCATCTCAGGGGAACCTACAAGGTGAGGACGGCAAAAATTACCCAGCTGAGTGCTAGTGCGCCAAAGCGTGCTGGCCAGTATTCTCAAAGCAAAAGTATGGCCGGATCATCACAACGACTTCGCCCAATGGGCTGTGTAAGTCCTCCAGCGCAAGATGTCCCCTGACACACGCAGATGGAGCTATCGGACAGGCCAATTACTCGACTGCCAAAGCCGCTCTGATCGGTTTCGCCCGGACTCTCGCCCTCGAAGGTGCCAGATCAAACATTCTGGTCAATTGTATCGCTCCGCAAGCTGGAACAGCCATGACGGCGACCGTGTGGCCAAAGTGAGTCGATTCTTGTGACGAGTCTGACCTGTCAGGGAGGCGCTAGAGGCGATGTCTGTAAGTCTCGGGCATTTCTTACTTCTTATGCTGACCAAATAGCCTGACTATGTCGCACCTGTGGTCGGATACCTCTGCTCGGAACAATGCCAAGACACTGGGACGCTTTACGAAACGTTTGGTGGCTTTGCCGCCCAAGTCAGATGGCAGAGAACCCACGGGTGAGTGCTCAACTCCTCATAGCTATACTGAGCACTCGTAGGTTCTGCTTCCCCAATGACAAGGAGCCGTCGCCAGAGGCTGTTCTCGGCAAGTGGAAGGAGATCACGACATTTGGTAAGGCCCTGAGGACTACTCGCCGCTGAATTCTCAGACGACCGCTCGACCCACCCTTCATCCGCCCAAGAAGCTATCCAGCAGATCCTCGAGAATTTCTCCAATCACGCAGAAGCCTCCTCTGGCGAATCTGGTGGCAGCGAGTTTGAGCATTCTGAGGACACCGACGCCGTCAAACAGGCCAAGCGGAATCCTCCTTCGCCGGAAGAATTCACATACACCGAGCGAGATGTCATGCTATACAATCTGGGCATTGGAGCCAAGGCGAGCGAGCTCAAGTGGACATTTGAGAATTCGGAAGACTTTGCAGTGAGCAAAAGCTCGTAAGCACGTTGCTGAGCCCCAGGCCCTTCCCACATTCGGTGTCATTCCCCAATTCGGCTCTTCCTCCTCCATGCCCATGGACTTTGTACCCAATTTCGACCCCACCAAGCTCCTGCATGGCGAGCAGTATCTCAAGATCCTCGGCCCCATCCCTACATCCGCCACCGTCATCAATCACACTCAGCTCGTCGAGGCGTTGGACAAGGGCAAGGCTGCGGCGGTCACTTGTCGTGTCATCACAAAGGACAAGTCGACGGGAGAGTCGCTGTTCGAGAACCAGAGTACGGTGTTTCTGAGGGGTTGTGGCGGATTTGGAGGGAAGAAGAGTGGTTCGGGTACGTCACAAGGGAGGTCAAGTTTTTCAAGCTGATGATGATCAGACCGCGGACCTGCAACGGCTCTGAATACACCTCCAAAGCGACAACCTGACGCCGTCGTTGAGGAGAAGACGACGCTGGAACAAGCTGCGATCTATCGTCTCTCGGGTGACTACAACCCATTGCATATCGATCCGTCGTTCTCCAAAATGGGAGGATTCTCCAAGCCTAGTGAGTGGACGAGTGGCATACGACAGCTGACGCGATGCAGTTCTTCACGGCCTTTGCTTCATGGGAATTGCCGGAAAACACGTCCTCAAGACCTTTGGACCGTACACGGACATCAAGGTCCGATTTGCCGGCACCGTGATTCCTGGCGAGACGCTCGTCACGGAGATGTGGAAGGAGGGTGACAAGGTCATATTTGGTGAGTGAGACGTTGCCAGGCTGCATCTCATCAACAATCGCCAGCTTCCAAAGTCAAGGAGCGCAATACACCTGCGTTGAGCAATGCTGCGGTGACTTTGGTGAAGCAGGACTCTACCAAGGCAAAGTTGTGACACGCTTGTTAGTCTCAGAGCCCAGTAGATCATCAGCACTTGCACCTGCATGTATCGCCTCAAACGGCTGGAGCCCCGCATTTCACGTGGCGGTGCCAAGTTTCAGGAGCGAGCCACTCAAAATAAAAGGACGTGTTCAGCGTCTGTCGCACATTTTCCCGCGACGGATGAACGAGTAGTCCACAGGCGATAGATCTATGAGAGCTGTTAGGGACCGCCCCCCATCTGAGCAGTTTCCAGCACAACACCTGAGCCATGTCCATATCGAGACTGCAGCTGGCGGCGGCCCTCTTAGGTGAGTTACCGAGAAAAACATCGCACAGCCCCTCACCTGGGTTCCAGAATACGACAACGACGATGATGAACCGTCCTCTTCGCGACCTCATATCTCTCATCGCGATTCCGCCTTGTTCAAACCGTTCGCTCCTAAACCTCTGGATGGATGGGACCTCCCTTCGAATGGTCGACGACACGATGGCGATGAGGGTCGGGCGCAGCCACGGAGACGACTTCAACCTAGTCCTGTGCCTTCTGTTCGACCGCACAATGGACAGATGATGAACGGGCCGTATCCTAGCATGTCGTCGAGGCGATTAGACAGACTCCTGGACCCGGACTATGACGAATCTCACGTTCAGCCGGAGGCGCAGACCCTCCCCGAACATGTCCTCGACACACCTCATTGGCAGTCCTCTCGACCCAATGCCCCACCCCAAATCACCCTTCCTCACATCACGCCGCCCGAACCTGACATTCAATCTCCACTCGATACCGTCTCATCCTCTCCTGCCATCCCCAGCGGCTCCTTCTTCCCACGTCCGCCGCTCCCGCTCCCGCTCCGAGACGCAGACGTAGGTCACTTGACGCCCGAAGCGATCACCTCTCCACTTCAAGGGCGAGCAGCGTCCATCCATCTCAGCCTGAGTGGGAACAACAGCGCTCAGAGTCAACTCAGCGAGCGGGAGCAGGTTGAATACTTTGGAGGGGCTGACGATGTCGAAGAGGTCTTGCGACGCTCAGAACAGGTTCGATCGCTTGCCGAGGGAGCTTTGCGATCACCTCGGATGATCCCTCTTCCTCCTTCTCCCGGGAACACGCTCAACGCCATGACCAGCCGACCCATCTCTTCGCTCAGCCGTCTGTCATCTTCCAAGTCGATCTTCCACGCCAATGCCGATATCACCCGAGACGATGGCCCAAACCCGTTCGCGCTTCCTCCTCCACCTGCAGAACTGGGCAGTCGATTCGACCCGAAGCGGAGCATCGATCTCGGTTCAGGCTCTCGACCATCGATGAGCAATCGCGTGTCATTCGCTGACCCAACTGGTCGTCGCAACTCACTTGGCGACATGACTGGGATAGATCAAGACTTTGGCCCGGCTATGCCACCTCGTCAACGTCGCATGTCGGGAACTCCTGCTCAAGCTTTGGCTTCCCTTCCATCCGATAGACCCGCCTCCAAGACATGGGATGATATACCGACACCCAACGAGTTTGGTCGACCTCTCATGCCTAATCGATACTCTACCATGAGCAATCTCTCCTCCCTACGTGATAAGAGGACCTCGGTGCTTCGCCCACAAACACTGTTCATGCCTCGACCGCTTTCTGGTATCCTGCCCCCACCGTCCCCTCCCAAAAACGTACCTGATGGCTATACGCTCGGAGACAAACCACTTCCACCTGGTTCTCGATCGTCCATCTTGTCACTTGCCAATCCCCGGCCTGGTCTACCAATGAGTCTGAGTATGAGGACATTCAGGGACAGTCTTTTGGCAGATATACCGAGGGAGGACGTGGTTGAGGCACAAGGAGAGCAAGAAGGTGAACTCGAGCCCGAGGCAGAAGACGAACGGAGACCAGGCAAGCTGTACGGGACCAGCCTCATGGATCAGCTGGAAGCGAGGAAAGCGGCTCAACGATCAAGACAGCGTGTCTTTGTCGGGGATTCGAGACCCGCCATGATGGCTAGGCCATCGCAGGGTCAGGAAGTTGAGTCGATTCAGCCTGACACAGCTCAGCGCGATACAATCCTGCAGTCAAAGTCAAATGTCGATCTCGCCGCCTCCCACGATAGAATCTCCAAATCGCGCTCAGTGTTCGGCGTCGATCAGCTATGGGAGAAGGAACTGGCCAAGCTCAAAGTGAGGCAGGAAGAAGAAGCACGTGAGGCGGCTCAGCAGGCCGCACGGGAAGCCCTCGAGGGGAAGAAACGAGGCAAAAAGGACAAAGGCAAGGGCAAAGTCACGCCCACGCCGATCGAGCCGGAGTTGTTGTTGCCTTCTTCCCCTGTCAGGACGACTATGGAGCTAGGACACGGACTGCCTATCTCTCCCATCAAGCGTCTGTCTGGCGGTCCACCAAGATTGTCCTACTCTCCTGCCAAGGCTCCGCCGACAATGATACCGCACTTGGCTGGAGACGAGAGACGTGCAGCTGCGGGGAAGAATGACGGATGGTCGAGTGACGGTGAAGATGAGAAGCAGGTTCCATCGCCGGAGGTAGATGACGATGACTCTGACGAGGACGTCCCGCTCTCCCGGTTAGCGCCTAAGAGGTCCGAACTCGACGACGACGACTCGGACGAGGACGTGCCCTTGTCCAAGCTCGCCACTGGCAAACCGAATGAAAACCGACCTGTCAAGCTCACGTCGCCCACGTTGAATCTCGACACTGCAGAGTTTGGCACCAGCTCGCTTGGCTTAGACATACCCGGCTTGACGCCGACCACGGCCGCCGCCCAGGATGATGATGTACCGCTTGCTCTGCGTCGTCCTGCCACACAGCTGCTCGATGCGGAAGACGACATTCCTCTGGGACTGAAGCGTCAATCCGCTTTCGCCTCTCCCTATGGCGATGCGTATCTTGGCTCGTATCCATCGATGGGGATGCCAAGTCTCCCATCGATGCCATATGGCATGCCTTACCCTCAATACCCGCCTGTCAACCCTTATGGATACCCCGTATACCAGTATCCTCCCTATGCCTATGGAGTTAGTCCATACCCTCGGCCAGAATCCGTTCACGAGTACATGAATCCCAACTTTGGGATGCCTCCGAGTGCGGCTCAGCAACAGGCTGCAGTGAGTAAGATTGACAGTTGGAGGAAAGAGGTCGCTGTCGCGCCTGCCGGGGGAAGTAGTGGATCAAGTGGACCGGGTGTGGCCTAACACTCTACAGTCTATGCATGTGATGCGTCGAGTGCAGATCGTCGTTGCCATGTGGAGCGCCACAGTCGACGCTCGCCGTGTCCCGTTGGCACGCGATGAAAAAAAATTGGGCACTGTACCGAACATTGAGCAGAGGTCAACTTTTGAGTCTGTACTCCTTTGTACCAACGAGCAGCGGCGAAGAGGAAGCCATGGCGAAGGAACAGCCTTCTTCCTAGACGATCTGTGACGTCCACGGATACCTTGTCTCGCTTCACGAAAAACGCGAACGTCGCTCCGCTTGCTTGGCACCGTCCGGGCTTTTCCTCTCCCATTCCAGCATGAAGTCGTCCTCCTCTCGCCCCTTGTCCAATGGACTGTCAGGAGGCTACACCTACCACAGAGACTTGGAGAAGGGAGGTGTAGGGCTCTCCTCCTCTTCGGCGCTAGCTCGCCGTATCATACCAACGAAGAAGGGCCGATGGGCCGTGATGATATTCTGCGGGCTTGCCACCGTCTACTACTTTACAGCATTCCACGGCCCACACGACGAGCATTATCGTCATCCTGGATCAGATGGTCTACCACGACACAACTCAGATCCAGAATGGGAGGGAGATCCGACCGATCAACACCGTCGTCCGCCGCCCAAGCCCCAAGAGCAATGGATACCTGGCAATGCCAACGAGCATGACGGGCCTCGTCCTCCGCCAGCAACAGAGGGGGAGGATCAAATTCGATTCGGTAGCGGAGGGTCACCTCCGGCTCAGGATGAACCAGTGTTACCAGTCAAGCAACTGACACTTCTCGAACGACAAAATTGGATCGAGCCTATGGATCCGGACATGTCGCTCGTGGCCTCTCCCTCCGAACTGTTCCCTGAGATCTCCCTACAGGACTACTTCAAGCCGCCCCCAGAAGATCCTTTCCCTGAGAACCTGCTCCGAACCATCATCTCACCTCCACCAAAGACAAATAACAAGAACAAGGATTACGTGTGGGAGGCGGGGCCGAAGACCTTTAGACATCAATGGGTGCCGCCCGACAACTGGGACGAGCAGAAAGAGGTTCGAAAGATTCAATGGGAAGGGTTTGCGAGGGGACGGGAGGGATGGGAGAATGAGGCCGAGCGAAAGGTCAGAGAGGAGAGGAAGGAGGCGGTCAGACGGGGATTCGCATATGGTTGGCAAGGGTACAAGGACTTTGCGTGGGGTGGGTCGCGGTCGGGTACAGACCGAGCTGACGGATAGGTCATGACGAGGTCAAACCGGTCTCTGAAGATGTCGCTGATCCATTCAATGGGTAGGTCCAAAAAAGCTTAGACGTTGCTGACGCTCCCAGCTGGGGCGCGTCCATCGTCGACACACTCGGGACCCTCCTCGTTATGGGTCTCTCCGACGAGTTTAATCTATGTCGTGCGCATGTCAACCAGATCAACTTTCACTGGTTCGAAGGCAGAGACTGGTCTCAAGGCTATAGCTCTGAGCCATCACCAACGGATGACGACGAGACGCCCGCAGAGATCTGGAGTATGCCTCGAGATCGCACCGTCCTGTTGCCAGTGTTCGAAACATCGATTCGATACCTCGGCGGTCTTCTCAGCGCTTATGACCTATCCGGGGACAAGATGATCCTGGATCGATGTGTCGAGCTGGCTGACATCATTGGCTCAGCGTTCAACACCGAGTCGGGTATCCCTGCGGGCCGAATGGATCCCGGAAACCCGGGAGATCATCGACTGGGCTCCATTTCCATCGCTGAAGCAGGCAGTATGACTGTCGAATTCATGCGCCTCGCACTTGTCACTGGCAATCGGACGTACTTTGATTGGGTCCAGTGCGCGACAGACTATTTGGATCAACGTGTCATTCCCCGATCCGTCATTCCTCCGTTGATCCCTCTCATGTTCCAGCCAGACTCGGGGCTCGGTGCAAAGATGGACGGAGCGTTCGCCTGGGGAGGGATGGCCGATAGCTATTATGAGTATCTGATTAAGACGTACAAGCTTCTCGGTGGATCCGAGATTGCTCAACAGTACAAGAGGATCTATGAAGAATCCGTCATCGTCTCGAAGAAGAACCTCTTCACCGATATCGACTACATCCCGGATCATCCTATACTGGCCATCGGCAAGATTGAACACGGCCGGTTCAAGCCAGAGATTGAGCATCTGACGTGTTTTGCGGGAGGCATGCTCGCCATGGGCGCGAAACTCTTGCAACGACAGGAGGACATGGAGGACGCGGAAAAGTTCACCAACTCGTGCTATTGGGTCTCGCAGGTGGGGCCACTGGGGCTTCAACCGGAACATGTCGAGTTTTACAACCCAGACCATGAGGAGGTTTGGGACAACGTCGATGAGACTGGACGGATCATACATCCCTACGTGGACGAAGCTGAGCTCAAGGCGAAAGGAGCGGATGTCGGCAGAACATACAAGGACAAGTCCGGTGTGATCCGATGGAGCAGTGACAAGCAGCCGGTGCTCGAAGCGGATGGTGGAACGGGTCCAAACCACAACGTGAAGACGGTGAAAAAGCTCAGAGGCAAATTGCCAGGCATCAAGGGGGTCGGACCGAGGTATATCAACAGGCCGGAGACTGTCGAGTCATTGTTTTACATGTGAGCGGTCTCAGACGGGACATTGACTGACCCAAAGGTTCCGATTGACTGGTGATCGCAAGTGGCAAGATAAAGGTTGGAAAATGTTCGTCTCTTGGATGACGGCGTCAAAGGTCTCTGGAGGGTTCAGCTCGGTCACGGATGTCACCAAGTCGCCTCCAAAGTATGGCGATAATATGGAGTCGTTTGCGTTTGCGGAACTGTTCAAGTGAGTCAAAGGCTCGGGAGATAGGTCTGATGTTTCACAAGGTATCACTATCTCTTGCAATCGGAACCAGACTTCATCTCGTTGGACGACTACGTTTTCAACACGGGTGAGTATGAAGACTCACACACACACACACACACACACACACACACACACACACACACACACACACACACACACAACACACACACACACACACACACACACACACACACACACACACACACACACACACACACACACACACACACACACACACACACACACACACACACACACACACACACACACACACACACACACACACACACACACACACACACACACACACACACACACACACACACACACACACACACACACACACACACACACACACACACACACACACACACACACACACACACACACACACACACACACACACACACACACACACACACACACACACACACACACACACACACACACACACACACACACACACACACACACACACACCCCAACACAATGCTGATCCCCTGCGCAGAGGCGCACCCGCTCATTGCCAATCGGGACATCCTCCCCGGCTCTCAACGCTTATGGCGTCCGCCTACCGATCCCGATGCCGACCTTGGCGTCCGTGGGCAAGGTACAGACGTCCAAAAGTGGAAGCGACAAAGCGTACTCTGGAAGGGCAGAGAGACGCACAAGCAAGTCAAGGCGGAGAAGCCTGAGCAACATCAAGGTGGAGGCAAAGGGATGGGAGGAGGTGGTGGGAGGCCAGGCTACATTCCTCCTCTTCCGCCAGGGTTTGGTAATCAAGAATGATACGTTAATTGTACTAGTACATTTGCATGCTTGCATCACGCGTTTTCGTCCCTATTGACGGCTTGGCTGTCCGAACCCTTGACACTGTTCCCCGTGACGTCTTTTTCCTGGACGAAGCAAGCGCTGAGGACGGTGAGGATCATGATACACCCTGTGGATATCCAAACGATGGAGATGGACGAGGCGTAGGCTTTCAGAGCGAGATTTTGGAGCGTTGGCGGTAAGCGAGCGATGGCGGCTTTGCTATGGAGGATGGAGGAGATGATCTGAGTGTGTCAGTGAGCATATCAGAGGGTCCAACTTGCCTCGTCTCTGCCTGGATAGTCGCCAAACTGTTTCTTCATCTGCGAGGCGAAAGCCCCGATCTGGATCGATCCGCCAATGGAAATGCCTAATGCGACGCCGAGTGTGCGAACGGTGTATAGTAGGGCTGTGGCTTTGGGCTGGAGTGGTCAGACTGACTCTCTGCGAACGGGTACCTACCATGTTCTTGCTATCGACAGCGGTTATGAGAGCGACTTGGGGTCAGCTGATGTTCCGGCATCACCACTCACTCAGCTGACAGCACAGGAACATGGAATATCCCAAGGAAGCAGGGAAGAATGTCAGGTAATACCCCCACCATGGCCACGCGGGATTCCAATTCGCTGCGATCCAAGAGCAGAAGACGGATGGGATGAGCGAATACACCCCGAGGCGTTTATAAGCACCCCCTCGGCGGATATGCCTGTCTTCAGCGTTTTGCTACGGGTTTCGACTCACTGTCCCGCGATCATTGACCCTAGGGCTAGACCGGCACCTCCACAGAGGGAGAGCATGAGACCTGCATATGCGGTGGACGACTTGACGACGACGGTGAAGTAGACAGGGCTGCAAGTCAGCGGTACCCTGCCGCGGCTCAGAGCTTACACTTGGAACATCTGCCTTTGTTAGCGTAAACTTTTGGGGGGCGAGGAGATCACTCACGAAAGCCTGATTCCCAATAGACAAGAATAGTCCACTGCTCATGATGGCCAGCCTGTGCTTGCTCCGAAGTATCCTCATAGGTACCAGTGGACTCTTGACCCTGGTTTCGACCCATCCAAAGATGACCAACGCGACGACGCTGGCAAGTAGATTTCCCCAGACGACTGGAGCAGACCATGGTTCAAGATAAGAGGTGTGGAATGAGAAGCCCAGGAGGAGTGTCGATACGGATCCAATGAGGAGGATGGTACCTATCCAGTCGAGGGATGCGAGGCCAGAAAGAAGCGAGGTGTGGGTCGGCGGTATTGGTTGGGCAGGGAGGACCATCGTGACGATGGTGGCACAGAAGACTGTGATGGGGACCTGGCCGTATAAATGCGAGGATGGCATTGAGCGCTCACCTGGAGCCAGAATGACAGATGCCATCCATATTTGTCCGCTAACCATCCAGAGACGGGTCCACCAATCATGGATCCGCTTCCGAAGACGGTCATCATGAGGCCTAGTTGGGGTGTCAGAGTCGGTTCGGACCACATGGCCTACCCTGATACAGGCCTCGATCTCTCAGAGGGACAAGGTCTGTGACGATGACACTCGACACAGTGAGCAGCCCTCCTCCCCCAAGCTGCGACATCAGTCTGAGACACTCCCGTTATCGCCTACTCACCCCGGCAAAAGCTCTCGCCGCGATCAACACATACATGTTCGGGCTCAGAGCACACATGACCGTCCCTAGGCCGTAGAAGAAGCAAGCCGTGTCCATGGCGAATGTACGCCCGAGCGTGTCCATGAATACGCCATACACAGGGATCACTGGCGTCAGAAAGGAACACGCCTCGACAGGAACTCACCCGCCGCACTGGTCAGTGAAAAGATGCTTCCTAGATAACTGGCCAGCTCGGAATGGTTAAACTCTGACGAGATGAGCGGTGCCAGCGTCGGTATAGCGGTCGACTGGAAAGCAAAGACAAAGTTGGAGGACCAGATTCCGACGCAGATGAGGACGAATCGTGATCTAGAAATGGAGTCTCGCAGTGGTGCAGAGCGATCCAATACCTTGCTTCCGCTAGGCGCAGGCTCACTCGGGCCAAGGATTGGAGATCCTTCCCTCGGAGTCGCCCATGTTGAGGTGGATCCCCTTGTGCCAGGCGTATCGTCACCATTGACGTATCGAGATATACTTGATTGAACGCTGTGAGAGGGTCCACTGACCAGCCGAGTTCGCTCGTTGGCCGGATGAATAACGATAGCTGACATGGTGGGGATGGTGGAAATCTCCTGGTCCGTTGAGGAAATACGCCGAGCCTGACAGTGGTCTCAACTCCTTCCTCACTGCTGATGACGAGCTCCGGTAACCCTCGACCCGCTCTCCCACTGACTCCTCACACCTCAATACGACTCGGCGTACAATATTGATAATACAAAGTCTCAACAGATCGGATCTACCCGATCAATCACGCACCTCGTCTATCACGTGATTCTACCGTCCCCCCAGCTGCTGCAGGCCGGCCATACCCCCGATGCATGCATGCATCATCATCATCTTCATCATGTGCTCAACTCTGCTTCATCTGCAAACGCTTGCCTGAAGACATCCACCTCGTCCCCCAGTTCCAGTTCCATCCCCATCCCCACTTCATCCTCCCATACCATTCTCAACGAATCGCAGACGCTCTTTAGGCCAAATAGAAAGCCCATATCGGGCGTGTGGGGATGTTTGGGCGGGAATCGAGCCATGGTCAGGCCGGTCGTGGGGTCGACAGGACTGTCATAGCCTTTGCCTAGACCATTGACGTCTTCCTTGTACGTATCAGTAAACGGGACAAAGTCTTGACCCGTGGTGGTATGGGCGAAATCGACGATCCGAATGTTCACCTCGCCTTTGATCCGGTGTGTATTGTCGGCAAGGTC